CATTGATTAAACGTTTTAGCTGCATGTTTTAATTCGAACAACTATTGTTCTTCAGAACGCATTAATTAAAATTTGTTTGATTTAATTCGAACTTTTTTTCTGAGTGTTGTCAGAGGAATTGTTAGTGAACTGCTGCGTTTGGTCGCACATGGCGGCCGTAGCAGCTGTGGTTTAATCTTCTTTTAAGTTGTCCCAAAGTCCGACAAGGATGACGACGCTAACGCTAACACTAACGCCAACGCCAACACCGTGGGCCAAAACTTTCTGCTGCCGCGCCACTTGTGGTTGATAACTTGGAACAAAGCGCTCTCTCTTCAGCCCGGCCGTGAGGCTGAAACAAAAAACGTTGTCGAGCTTCAAATAGTTGAGAATTCTTTGTGGATAAGTCATTGTTAGAGTCGTTATAGAAGCCGAGCGGCAACAACAACGGATGTCCTTCTGTTATTTTTCACTCTAATTAGCCGTCATTGGTTTGTGATTTGTGGGCGAGAGCGATGCACGCTCGAATGGCACCTTTACTAGTACTTAGTACAGTGAAGGGAATTAAGCACGATTTTGCTAGAATAATGAAATAGAAATACAAATTATAGTAATAAGATGATATGCAAGCTGAAATGGAAAACACAAACTTACTATCGGTCTTGAATAACTTGAATATAGAACGCACATTTTGCCTAAAAAGAAAGTTATGGTAGAGAAAAATCATCAAAGCTTATATATAGAGTTGGTTAATTTTTTAGGCAGCTGTAATTAGTGCAAGCTCTCAGGAAATTTGAGAAAAATTGTCTTTCTACTCTCAATGAAAAGGTCTCTGTTCAATCAATAAAGCCGAGCTAGATTCTACTCTGGAAAAGACTGCTCCTTCGCTTACACTATTACAATATTGTGTGACAGGATTTTAATGAAGGCGAAGAAGCTGCTGAGACGACCATCGCAGTAGTTGGCGACATTAAGTAAAAACATCAGAAATGTGTGCGAGATAGCAGAATTGGTAGAAAATGAGAAATCTGTGCATAAGATGCTGAATGAAGCATTTGGCGCTGAGACTTAAATCAGATTCATAAACATGAGTTGAAGGGACAGCCGAAACAATGAACTGCCGGCGAAGATATGTCTTCTTGACAAAGATCCAACCTAGGACAGATTTAAAATAAAGATTAAGGACTTACAAAAAAAAAAGAAGACGAAAATAGTTCAAATACAGTTCATGAGAGGCAAGTCAAATAATTTGTTTGATTGCCTTTCAGATTCGCTGAACTTAATCTTAATCTCTTCATCTCCTAAGATTTTTCCCGCTTTCCAAAGCTGAAAAAATAATTATGGAAATATGAAATCTGCGATTAATAACTATTTTGAGTAGCTCGTCATTTCTCACTATAAAGAAGCAATCAAAGCCACTGAAAGCTGGCAAAGGTGTATCGGAACTATTTAAAACAATTCTTGATAAGGTTGAATTTTTCTAGGACTAAGCACATACGATTAACAGAACGTATTTACGGTTTGAATATTTATTGTAATATTTATAAGTGTCTACGACTCTATTTTAATTATTTTGTATGTATACTGCTTACTAATACCGTTTGTGTACCGGATGTGAAAATTCAGCAAATACTGTTAAATATTCTGAATAGGAGCGTAAAGCGCTACAGTTTCTGCTGCAGAAGCTTCACTCTACTGAAAATCGAAGTTTGTAATTGTTAACAGGTTCGCCCCAATTGTCCTGAGAGCCAAACATACGAGCGTAAGGCTTAAGCTATAAACAAAACATTGTGGAGCATGAAATGGGAGATTAGTTGGTCGGTGGTCCACAGATAGTTGACTGTTTGCACGGCTCATTTGTGTGTGTCATTACTTGACCAATTTCCATTTAACATGCATACGTAAATGTTTCATTCAGTCATTCAGTCATTCATTCATTCGCTCATTGTTGCTGACCCAAAAGCGCAGTGAAGCCAAAGTAAGGGAGAAGTGCTGCCTTGCCTTCCGCTAGTATTGTTGCTCTATTGCGGGGCTTACCGCAGATAATTTAAAGCAAATGAGTTTCCCACAATTTATGCAAACCACATTAAACATTTGCCAGCAAATGTTGTCTGCCTTGTGTGTGTGTGTGTGTGTGTGCGACCATTTAATTAAATTAAGAACAAGCTCAGAATGACCAACAGAGCGAGTTGTAGCGAGTTTTTGTAGCTATTATTTGGCTTTTATGGTTAGCTTGCTGCGGCAGCTCAAAAATCGCCATTAAATCATTTAAGGCGTTAGGTTAATGGGTCACGGCCAGTGTTGGTAAATGTGCCGATCCTGCACAACATTGTTGGGCGCATTAAAATAGACTAAAACGTCCAGCGCTTTACGTTTATAGTCGTTTAATGTAAAACAGTTAATTAGCGACGCCCACACACACACACATACACACAATTGTTGGCCACCATTTTGCGCCTCTTCACAAATTTTCAACGCTATTCGCGTAGGTGGCCCGGCAAATTACTTTTGATTAATGAAGCGCAATGAGGCATGAAAAAACGAAACAAAAATTTTAAAAATAAAAGAAATTGACGGCATGCAGCTACTCAGGGGCCCAAGCGCGAATGCGAAAGCAAAAATCACACCAGCGCCCGCTAGACAAATTATTAACCCATTGGGTGCTGCTAGTATTTGCTGTTTTCATTTTAAATAAATAAAATTTTGTTTTTTGTTCCATTACACATTTGTTAAATTATAATTAGTTTTAACTATACAAAGAAATATTAATTTAAGAAATATATCCATTACTCTTTTAATAATTATAACAATTTGTTTATTTTTTTTGTATCCATTAGCATTTGTAAGGAAATGAGTTTTTTTTAAATTATTTAATAAATCATTAAGCACATATTTCTAAACTTTTTTTAAGGTTATTTAAATTACTATTTTTTAAAATGTTTTTAAAGCAAGCCGGAAGTAATATTAATCCGCTCTTCGAAATGATCTCTAATTATCCGACGATACTAAGGACTACTATAATGTAGGACTGTTTCCGGCGGTTCACCGGTCTAACCTAACCTTTTAAAATATTTTTAAAAAACAAAACAACTGATTCCTACATATTTTTATTAAATTATTATTGAATTATTTTGCAAACTAATTTGTATACACATTTTTGAAATTTCGTATTCATTTATTAAATAATTTTTCAAGTTATTTTAAAAATAACTTCTGAAAATTTTTATTGAATTTTTTTAAATTTATTTTTAATTATAATCAATGTTATTATTAAATAATTAATTATTAATTCAATAATTTATAAGACTATTTTTAACATAATTTTTAACTGAATTTAAATAATTTGCAAATTATTTTTAAAAACATATTTTTTAAATATGTGCACATTTAAAAAAAAAAATTTAAATTAATTTTTGAGTTATTTCTTAAATAACTTTTAAAAATATTTTCATCTAGCGTGATTTTAAATAACACCTTTTTTAAATAATATTTTTTTATACTATAATTATGCAATCAGGGGTAGAAATCTACCCAGTTGGGTGTGCAGGGGTTGAATTTTGCGACCGCTCGCTCGTCCGTACCTGTCTACTTGCCATTATGCAATTTCCATACAAATGATGCCTGACATGCTTTGTTGCCACCTTTGTTGCTGTTGTTGTAGCTGTTTTTGTTGCTGGCACTGGTCACCTTGACTGCTGACTGCACTTTATTATTAATGCTGATGGCGCGCTCTTGGGAGCTAAAGGACGACAAAAACAAAACGAGAGCAGCACATGGGAAGAGAGAGATTGAGGATTCCTTTAGCTTTTTACTTTTTGCTCGCTCCTGGCTGTCGTTGTTGTAATTATGAACTTAACAGCATGCCAGCAGGGGAGGCAGGAGTGGCAGGCGTGGCAGGAGTGCCGACATCACCGGAAGCGACACTGACGCCATATTGTGTCAGCGCAACTTAATGTTTAATGGCATCAAGCGACATGCTCTGATTTTTAATTGCTAAATGCCCGTTTCACTGTGAATTGCGAATTGCGTTTATAAATTTGTAGCTTTCCCGCATTTTATGTCTCTGTGTTTGTGTATCACAGTTGCGGTTTATTTTATGTAAATGCATTTGCCTGCTGACAAGCTTTTCCACTGTGCCCGACTATTTTAATGCGTGCGTTAAAATAAACAACAGATGGTTCGACAATTTAGCACCTTTATTGGCAGCGCTAATTGCAACGCACATTAAAGCACAGATTAACTCGGCAAGCTCGCTAAATTCATTAGCTGCCGCAGCCAGTTTCTTTAAGATAATAAAAGTTCTGTGCGCATTAATTTGCATAGCCAAGCAGCCAGGCAGACAGGGCTGACGATGACGAGAACGTCTTTTTGGTAAGTTGGAGCATAATTAAATTTAATCCAATTAAATGAGTGACAAGCACAGGCTACTTGCGGTTTGTCAACGCGACCAATGTCAACGTCGTTTGCGTCTGTCTGTCTTATTAACACGATGGTCTCATTATATGCAGCGAGCTGACCTTAATGCTTGCTTTATTATTAACAGAGAAAGCGCCAAAGAGCCTAAATGGGTGAAGCGAGCGGTACCTAAGGAAATCAAAGAGCGAAATTTAAATACATTAAGGGGTAACATTTCAAACAGCATTAAATATTTGCAAATGGACAATCTCACTCCAATGCAGTAAGTATATTAACATAAACAAAATAAATTCCAGTTTTGAAAGTGGCCAACAGTAAGCAGCTGCACAACAAAATAAAATCTTAATACAAAATTAGTTATTCCCTTTTCTTTTTCAGTTTTATTAACTTTAAACAAAATGGATACTTAATTACCAATAAATAATATTCCTTTAAAGAGACAAAGTGGAAAATATATATGAGGCAATCAAGTTTTTGAATAAAAACGAATGCAGCAACTGTCACTCGCAGCTGCTTCTAATAGCAACCCCATTCCAACGATGTGGCAGCTCACTGCACCAAGTTGGCAGCACTATTGCCTATCTGGGCTAGTTAGCCCAGCTAGTCCTAAAGTTAATACCACTGTGGTTACTATCGACTGCCAATTTAGGGCTCTACAGACACCGGATATCTTCCGAAAAATCTCTAATTAAATATAAAATTCATGTTGTAATTCTCCAAGGTATCCAAAAATTAATCCAAACAAGTTGACTTTGTGGTTCCGCACAACTTACGCAACGCGCCGGCACCGAATACGACTCGAATCCAATGGTAATGTTAATTGAAGGGGGATAGGGAGAAGAGGCTGTCGAACAATAACAAGGGGTCAATAGAGCGGCCTGCACCCAAGGCCAACAAAAGTGCTTTAGCGATTCTAAATAAAAATCGAATTTTGCAGAACGTGAACATCGATTGTCGGACCAAAACATAGGCCCGTGTGTCCGAGTTCTCGCCCCAGATATACACATAATACAAATATATAGACATAGGACTCGGCTATGCTACCCGCCATCATATTCCGGCAAATGCAGCGACCGCTGTGCGCCGGCGCCCTCCATCATGGCTCCACAACGCTGGAGCATGTGCTGGGCGTTGGCGGCAGCAGTTTCGTCAACTGCCTAAATCGGTATGCGGCGGCGACTGGATTTATACGGATCTCGTTTCTGGACATCAAACAGCATCGGAACTGGGATGTGGCCAGGCTGCGTATGTATGCGGATGCCAAGAAACAATCGCTCCACATGCGTACGCTTCAGGGACGGGATCTCCTGCAAGGTGTCATCGATAAGAAGCGTGCCGGCTTCATTGAGCGCAAAAACGTGCTCGTCGATGACATACGGGAGGCGAAGCACAAGGTACAGGAACGTGTGCGGGAAAAGATTGTGGAGATACGCGAGGAGCGCGAAAATATTATGACCATACCCAATATGCTGACCATAAGTCGTGCCATACTCTCACCCTATATTGGATATGTTATAGTCCAAGGCGACTTTGGCCTAGGCATGAATCTGCTCATTGTGGCGGGCATCACAGATCTGGTGAGTGAGAATGTAACTCAATTTATTGATGCTGATAATCTAATTTTATTTTCTGTTGCAGCTTGATGGTCAGATTGCACGCCGCTGGCCCTCGCAAGCCAGCAAGGCTGGCTCCTTTCTCGATCCGATGGCCGACAAGCTGTTGATGGGCTCCCTTGTCGTCTCACTCTGCTACAGCGAATTGCTGCCCATGTGGCTGACGGGCATTGTTGTCTTCCGTGATGTTTTCCTTATTGGTGCTGGCTTTGTTATACGCTACATAAGCCTGCCACCGCCGGTAAGTAGCATCGTGCATTTAAAAAGTTCCAACTAATTCTGTACCTTTGCAGAAAACCCTTTCGCGTTATTTTGACGCCACCCATGTCACGGCTCAGTTGGAGCCCACATTCATAAGTAAAGTCAATACTGGCGTGCAGCTGGCCACCATTGGCATCAGTCTGGGGGCACCCATTTGGAACTATATAGGTGGGCATATAAAAATCAAACCTAATTTTACACAATTAACATTTATTCCGTAACCGCAATGTAGATCATCCGGCGCTACATGGTCTCTGGTACCTGACGGGAGTAACCACTGTTGCTGCAGCCCTCAGCTATGTCATCAATCGACGCAATACTTTTAAGATCATTCATAAGCCAAAAAAAATGACGTAGAGTTGGCATTTCTTTTAACAAAAAGCTGCAAATAATAATAGTAGACTCTAAGAAACTCGTAGAACACCAACTGCAACTATAAGTATATAAACTGTTTTGTACATGCGTATAAATTAAAAAATTATGTATATTTTGTTTAAAAGCAATTCGCCCTTAAAATTCTAAAGGAGTGGTAACAGCAATCAACAGTTGCGTAGCTGTTGTGTCACTGGATGCCAATGATAGTGCTACCAGATTTTTATACTATATTCAAACCTGTGATGTCCAAAGGTCTAGTCTTGTTAGCTTCTTCCACATCAATTGGTTGATTTTAAATATTGATATATTCAAAAACAATTTATTTATATATTTGAATTTGCATCAACTTTGCAACTTCATCACAAGCTGGCTAAAATATTGAACTATGTATTATTCGCACACAAAAACGTTAAATGTACATACAAATTTATGTATATACATATATACACACTATCATATAATAGTGTACAAATAAGCTTTATAGCTATAACATAATTAGTATATTAGCCTACCGCCTTATTATTATAAATTAATAAATAATTTAACATTGATATTTAACATTTGATATTGTAGCATATAAATAAACCACAAAAATTAAATGAAAACCATTCCCATACAGTAGTTTAAACAATGAAAGTTGATTAAGTAAGATTATTAAACTATGTTTTAATTTTAACTTTTAAAGTAAAAATCCAAAAGTGGTATCCCTGAATACGGTACTTCAACCTTCATTTCTCGACTTAGTGATGTGGCAACGCCGCAACTGTCAAACTGACGCACGAGCTGCCAGCCTCTTTTCTTTTCTTTCCGGTCGGCGAATAGACCTGTAAGTCTACGCGAAATTTTTATGAAAAAAATCTTGAAAAACAAGCAAAATAAGAAAACAGCGCTATTTATTTGAAAAGAAATATGAAAGACAATTGTGTGTCACACTCGTTTGCATTTAGATTGCAACGCGGAACTTTCGAACTATGCAAGAAATTAAGCTGAAAAGTGTAAAAACTATTTTAAAATAGCATAACAAATAAATGTTTATTATCGGAAAAGAAAAAGGCACTCGTTTTGCAGCAGTGTTTGATATTTATGTGTTCCAGTGTTTTTAAAGAATTTGTACTAATCTACGCTTCTTTTCAATTCTATTTGCACGCTTGTTTGCTGTGAAAACCTTCGCGACAACAACAACAACAATAAATGCGCCATTAATAGCCACCAAGATGAGGAAAATTATGAAACAGGGCAAAATCGTAATCGTCCTTAGCGGACGTTACGCAGGCCGCAAAGCCATTATTGTCAATACTTCGGACAATGGCACGCCCGAGAAGCCATTCGGTCATGCCTTGGTCGCCGGCATCGACAGATACCCCCGTAAGGTGACAAAGAAGATGGGCAAGAACAAGCTGAAGAAGAAGTCCAAGATAAAGCCTTTCCTGAAGAGCTTGAACTACAACCATCTGATGCCCACCCGCTACACAGCGCACGACATCAGTTTCGAAAAGCTTTCGTCCAAGGATCTGAAGGATCCCATCAAGCGGAAGACACATCGTTTCCAGACGCGCGTCAAGTTCGAGTCTGTCTACAAGGAGGGCAAGAACAAGTGGTTCTTCCAGAAGTTGCGCTTCTAAGCTTCACACCCTACGGATGGTCACGGAGGACGTGGAGGTTTCTGGCTGCTGATGTGTGTGGACTGTTTTTTTAAGTTAAATAAAAAAACATTAAATTCTGAAAACTTACAAGATATTGCCAAATGTGTTATTATTATGCGAAGAAAGCATCTCGGGCAACTTCAAGATATATGTTTAATAAGTTTTGATAATAGTCGTCCAGGGATAAGCTACATAATTGTTAAAATTAAAAGTCTTGCAGCCTTACAGGAGGTTTTTAAGAGAAATATTCTGTTTGGAAAGCTCTATTTTCGGATAATCTCGATTGACAAACAACTGGCTTTTAATTATTTTCCCAATCAGTAGAAAGTTAGAGGTTCTAGGTTTCATTTTAAAAGTAAAATTTGTCACACTTGTTTAGACCATTTTAAATAAAAAACCGCTTAGTTTTGCTAAATTAGATTTCTTTCTTTTCTTCTCAATAAATATTCGAACAGAATAATACATTTTGCTTGAATATGCTCTAAAAATTAATAATAATCGATTTCAAAAATAATATTACAATTTAATATCGCTTTTTAACTTAGCAGTTGACATTTTGAAAGAGTTTCTAAAAATTGTAGTACATGATCAAACTTTTAGCTTAGGAGGATGTGTATATATAGTATATAAGACTAGGAGAAATCGCGTTCAATAAAATAGGTTGGTTAATCAAGTAAAGACAGTGTGGGTCAAGAGTTTAGAAAATTTGCGAGAAAATCTGTGAAATAGAATAGAAAATTAGTGATTAGAAAATGGATATTAAAACTGAATCAGACGAGAAATACTAGAGAAAATCATATTACCTGAAGTATAACACTTTGACATCGGTTGCGAACAGAATACACATAACACTTAGCTGGGGCGGGGAGGTTTTTCATTCTTTTTTTTTGATTAAGCAGCGCAAAATTTTGACCACAACAGATTTAATCTGATTCTTTTTTTTTTTGCCGTGAGGTTAACATCATATTAGACGCTGTGACTTGGGGAATAAAGGACTGTATAACAGTTTTCTCTGATTGGCTTAGTTGTGGGTTAATATTATTTTGCTGTTTTGTTTTAATAGTTATTAGTTGATTGATTATAATTTTCTTGGTTTGGGAATTTAGTTAAAACTGGTTGAAAAAGTTTCCATGTGGCCTGTGGTGATGCGGTAAGCATTTGGGGGAGGGGGGAGAAAAAATATAAATATGATTTTGTTAGATTTGCTCAAATTAAAAAACGTAAATGGTTACTACGGTGGCAAAGGCAACTACATACGTGTGGTGTGTTTGTGTGTGTTTCAAAGTGTTGTGTTGGGTGTGGGACTACGGGAGAACTATTAAACGGTATAACAGTTTGAACTAAATGTGTAACAAAGCGTTTGGTTAGCTGTTCAACTGAAATGTTGGGGGTTAAGTATTAGTAACTGAGTATAGGTGTTTTGGTGTTCGGTTCGGGTTGTGTTAGACACTGGATTAAAACTTTAAGGTACATTAACGTATTGAGTATAACACTTACAGTTTTGTTGTAGTTTCAAAATAATACACAAGGATATGAAAAAATATTACAAAATACTAGCGTAGGCATACAAATAATAACTATTATAACAGGACAAGCGAAAAAAGTTTGTTGTATAACAGTTATACAGCGAAAAACAATAAAAAAAATAGCGCCTGGCTAAAAAACACATTTAAAACGTATATGCAGGGCAATTATTTTACCAATTCACACGCTTGGTACTCAAAATCTTGAGTATGTTTTCAACAACATCGGTACTGGAGTGATTGCCGCCCAGATCTAGAAAAAGGAAGTAGAACTGTTATAAAAGTGGACTTCTTAGATTCAATGAAACAATTGATATACCTGGCGTGCGTATGGCATCGTTAACAATTGTCTGATACGTGGCCTCATAAATCACGTTGGCATGCTCCTTGTGGCCCAAATGGTTCAACATATCAATGCTGGCATTGATCATCGCCACAGGATTAGCAACATTCTTGCCGGCAATGGCTGTGCCAGTGTTACGAGTGCCCGGCTCGAAAACGGCGTACTGCAAATACAAGGTAAGATAATTTTACTGTGGTTGTAGTTATTATTTAATCCTAATCACTTACATGATCGCCATAATTGCGTCCGGAGATGAGACCAGCGCCGCCAATCAGACCACAAATGACATTGGAAACTATGGTGCCATACAAATTCGTCATGTTCATCACATCGAACTGATGGGGATTGGAGACGGCCTGCATGCAGGTGTTGTCAATGATCATATTGTTGTGCTCCAGCTCCGGATAGTCCTTGTGGACACGATTTGCGACTTCCAGGAACAGACCATCAGATAGCTTCATTATATTGGCCTTGTGAATTGTTGTGACACGCTTGCGGTTATTTTGGCGAGCATACTCAAAGGCATAGCGGGCCACACGCTCCGCATTCTCCACAGTGACGACTTTCATGCTCTCCACAATGCCGGGCACGGACTCGTGCTCCAACATAGCATACTCACCGTCCGTGTTCTGGCGAATGAGCACCACATCTACGTCCTTATGGCGTGCTGGAATGCCCGGATACGATTTGCAGTGAACCACATTCACGTACAGATCGAGCTCGTTGCGAATAGCGACGTTACGCGAAGTCTCACTCAGACTCTGGGACTTGGTCTCAATGTTACCCTTCAGTGCCACACCATTTCGCTTGATCGAGGTGATGGCATATTCCAGATCATCATTGCCCTCGGTTGAGGGATCGATGTCGATTACCTCAAAATCAATTGGAGCGCCGCAATAGTTAAATATTTCTCGCACATAGTTCATGAGTTCCGGTCCAATGCCGCCACCGGGCAGCATCGTCACAGCATGTCGCCCACCATACTGAGCCGAAGGTATATCTCTGCCCTATGGGTTCATTTTATATACATATATGCGTAGGATTGTAACCTCAATTGCGTGGCACCCGTAATCATACATACATACCGTGAGTTTCTTTTGCAGCGCGGACTTGGTGTGAGCTACATCCTCAGTTTTCTCCTTGGTCACCAGCATGGGGTAGCCCTGCGAATATTTGAATGATGTATTGTGGGATTCAACGCTTTTCTGGCCACATTATGTAATTTGCAAGATACATCAAACCTCGAGACGAAGGTCTGTAAACAACTTACTCGCGCTAGGAACGGCGTTTGTGCCTGCAGCAATCTTTGAGTTAAGCGTAAGGCCATGGTTTATATTTATTGGATTTGCCTTTTCCGTTAATTCAATTGCTAATTGATTTAGAATTCGGCCAACACGCGAACTGCTGCTGGCTGGCTAAAACTTTTGGAACTGCAGAGAACTCTGCTTCTTGCTAGTCGGCCATAACAGCTGTTCATGCAGTGGTGCCAATCATTCATAAAATGAAATTAAACCAGAACCATGGGAATCTGTTAGTTCTAAGCAAGCGATTGATGACAGATGGAATTTCTTTATTTACTAATGTTTAAATTTAAATTAATTCTAATCGATTAAGTAATGTGGAGCGACAGCAGTGTTTCAGTTTTTATAGAGCTGGTGAAAAATGCACCCGCAATTTGGAATCGTCTCGACACTGATTATAAAAATAAATGTCGAAAACGGCATTTGTGGAATGAAATCGTAATTGAATTAAATGAGCAATGCCAAAGGATATTTGCACCAAATGTTCCAACCAAGCCTTTTACTCAGGGTAAGTAAAAATTAAAAAAAAAACATATTAATATTATAATAATGCATCCTTTTAAGCCGACTGCATCAGAAAGTTCAATAACTTGAAAACCTACTACCAAAGCGAATATAATAAGATTTTAAAAGCCCGACAAGGCGGAGCAGGAGCTTCGAAAATAAAAGCTCTGCAAAAGAGCTGGAAATTTAAGACCATGCTGGATTTTCTAAATAAAGACCACATAAAATATGTAAGTTGAGTTATTATTTCCTTGACATTCAAAGTTCCTGTACGCACATTTATTAAACGAAGGATTTCGTTGATATCAAGCAAGAGAGCGTTGAAACTGAAGTTCCGCAAGATTCGATTGCAACCCAATCATCAAGTGAAACGGAGGAGATCGTCCAGAACGTCAGCGAGCCGCCAACACCAACCGAATCTGAACCAAAGAAGCGCAAAGCTGAAGCAACAGATGAGGAGACCGAAGAAAACAGCAATATGTTTCAGAGAGTGATGAAACGATTAACTCTAAACTCAATACAAGAACAATTGGATTCAGATGAAGCCGTTGGTCTACTCGTGACCCAGGATTTAAAAAAGCTCGATGAGGACTTGAAAGCAGAGGCCGTGCCAGAAATTGTGGGCATTATGATGGAGTATAGAAAAAAACAGCTTAAACGAAGAAATCGTTAGCTAGTTAAGGACTCTGCCAACGTTCCCTTGAAAAACCTGTCTTCCATAAACTGCCGGGAATATATCAAAACCTTTATTAATTAACAATCAAAAGGCTTATTAAAACCAAGAACAAATATGACATCTGTTTTATATTTGCTTTTCAATTTGCAATTTATTGTAATATATATTAAAATTTGACAAATCAAATATTTTTACATCTTCATCTTTCTTCAAATGATGTTCTTTCATTCAATTTATTTGTTAGAAAAAATAATTTTTTCAAATTTGTATTTAAATATCCATGGTTCCGAAGTGAACCAGTCGATTAATGAACTGGCTCTTTGCACTAAATCGTCGTTCCCCGTCGTCGACGTCGTTACGTTAACAACTGCACGTTTTGTTTAATAAACAAAATAAACAAGGAGCATGTGTACATAACCGTTGGTTTTATATTACCAAGAGAGTTCAAATGGCAGCGGAACTGACACCCACATCTCTGCATGTGGAAATGCATGAGCCGGTCACCAATTTCACATTTCTGCACGCACTAATTGTGAGTAAAACTAGTGTAACAATCCAATCCCATTGGCTATAAGTGGATGACGATAATGATGTTCCTTCACAGGCTGGTGGTGTTGCGGGAGTCGTTGTAGACATTGCACTCTTTCCCATCGATACGGTGAAGACACGCCTGCAAAGTGAATTGGGTTTCTGGCGCGCCGGCGGTTTTCGTGGCATTTACAAGGGTCTAGCGCCAGCGGCTGCCGGCAGTGCACCCACAGCGGCGCTCTTCTTCTGTGCCTACGAGTGCGGCAAGCAATTGTTAAGCTCTGTCAGCAATACCAAAGATTCCCCCTATGTACATATGGCAGCCGCTTCAGCAGCTGAAGTGGTAAAATAAATATTAAATATGCCCTCAAAGCAATTATTAATAAATTAATTTCCAATAGCTTGCCTGCCTCATACGCGTACCTGTCGAGATTGCCAAGCAACGTTCACAAGCGTTGTTGGGCCACAAACAACCACAGACTGCACTGCAGATACTGCTGCGTGCGTATCGCACTGAGGGTCTGCGCCGTGGTCTCTATCGGGGCTTTGGATCCACCATTATGCGTGAGATACCATTTAGTTTAATACAATTCCCGCTGTGGGAATACTTTAAACTGCAATGGACACCAGTTACGGGCTACGAATCCACGCCCTTGTCTGTGGCTTTATGCGGTGCAATTGCCGGTGGCATTTCAGCTGGTCTAACCACGCCACTAGATGTGGTTAAGACGCGGATTATGTTGGCTGAAAAGGACAGTTTAATACGTCGTCGCAGTGCTCAGAGCATACTTCATGGCATTTACTTGGAACGCGGTTTTCGCGGGTATGTAAACGTCAGTGAATAATTATTTTATTTATTATCTATTGTTTACACTTAATGCAGACTCTTTGCTGGCTTTGTGCCGCGCGTTCTTTGGATCACATTGGGCGGTGCATTCTTTTTTGGTTTCTATGATTTAACAACGCGCCTACTGGGCGCCGCAAATAGAGATAATTAGCTTAAAACTGAGGCACATTAGTTTAATACTACAGCTGCGACGGAACAATGTAGACAATAAAACATATGGAAGCTATTACGTGATGTTTACGTGTTGTGTAGTCTTATAGGATGCTGTACAGCATTTATAGGGACACTGGTGTTGTTTGAAAGGACGCAGGACGCTGTTAGCAGAAAAATAATATGTAATTTTTTATAATTTTAGCAAATAAACCACATTACTTACAGTTTCTATTTGAAGACGGCCGGTTAGTAGACAATCTGTAGCATTCTGGTCGTCATGAGGTTCTTCGCCACAGGCCATGGACACGTCAGAATCCTCATCAGCATTAATATTGACATAACCGTGTCGCACATTTTTACGCTTATAACAGAAGCACATAAAGCATTGTCGGCTACGTGACATCGCATACACCTACGGAGGTAATATATATTAACTTAGCACTTGTCCAAACAACACCTTTAGATAAGCCTCTGCGACTTACCCCTGCCGAGAGCAAAATAATTCCCACCAAGACGACTATGGGTATCCAAATGTATTGTGCGTCTGCTGGATGTTCTAGATCTGGCGTGGCATTTTCATCGGTTACCGTTGCTGCATCCATACTGATCTCGCTTGTTCAGTTATCGGACTTGAAATGTAAACTCAAACGACTACCGGCTGAATTATTTCCTCATACAAATAAATTCCGCGCTCTGTTGCGATGAATGAGCAACGACAGTTCATAGATGTGAGACTTTACCGATATTTTGTGAGTGATGGGAAACACTAAGAGTGCTGCCAATTCAAGTGGACATTGAAATTGGCAGCACTGTTGCTTGCAGCTGTGTTCGTACATTTTTCGAAGATTTCTGTTTCTTCTTTTCAGTTTGACGGTTAATTAACTGTCGCTTGAATCTACATTTTGACATAGAATGGATGCTCATAAGAACCTAAAACTAAGAAAAACGTATAAGTGTTAGATATAAATGGCAATCAATCAAGGAAGGTGTTGAATCAATCTAAAATATTTTACTCGGTTTGTAAAAAATTAAAGATTCAATTACCAATTCACAATTGTGAGACAGTATCAGTAACTATTATAGTTACTCGCTTGGTAGATGAATTTTGTGTGGGGGCTGTTAAAGCCTAGAGAAAGTAGGTTTTATACCCTGCGCCCAAAAGGTAGAAGGGTATACTAGTTTTCGTCTGGCTTTTGGTATGCAAACTATTTTAGATGTAAAAATATGACTATACATTTTATGATTCCGCTATTTAGATCTTCGAGAAATCTTTTGTTTTAGGACTTTTAGAAAATTGAAAACAATAATATATTTTGTTGTAAATTCAAACTTATTTAAAGGGACAGTATTTGGCGCTATGATGCGATAAGCAAACATCGAATGTCTGACTTTGCCGATGTATGTGATGCTGGGTAGCACTTCAAGTGCTGCCAGCTTAAATGAGCATTTTCCGAGCTTGCAGCTGTGTTTGGAAGTTTTTCGAAGAACTTTGTTTAATTCTTTAGATTTTTGACGGTTAATCAAATATAAACATGGCTATAGCGATGGAAGATATGCTCGCTTATTGCCGAATTTGCTTTGAAGAGCCGACAAGTGTTCACATGCTGGACATGAATGCGTACTGTGACAAGGAAGCCGCATTAACATACTACGATTGCTTTAAGATTTGTACCAAGCAAGATTTGCGGCTAATTTCGGATGAACCAACCAGCTTGTGCAAACGCTGCGGTGTAGAGCTTCAGTGGGCATATGATTTTTACAAGAAAGTGGAGCAGGCCAACCAACATTTACGGGAATTGCGTGAGAACTTCAGCCTCATCATGGATAAGGAGCCGGAAGAAATTGTGGGAGAGGAAGACGAACTGGTGGAGGAGGAGCAGGAACAGCGTGTGGAAGAGGGCGACCAGGAACAGTTGATGGCAGAAGACGGAACTCACCATCTAACAACTAATACTGAGGACGACATTCTGTTAGAAGATCTTGTGCAATTCATACCTGAGGATGAAGAAGAAACGGCGGCAGCAACTAATGATGCCGAATCTAATGTTAATATAAGTGAGGAATGCGAGCAGCACTTAGAAGATTACACAACCCCCTTGGAGGAACCAGAAACTCTTTCCTATGACAAAGATCTCTTTTCCGATTCCGAAATCGAGGGAATTGTACCCCCGCGGCACTACGAAGACGAAGAAGAAGATACATCGAAAATGTATGTGGTTGTTAAATGTGCTGAAGATTTAGTGCCCCACCAGCGTTTCTTTGGCCAATTCAGATGCCAGCATTGTAAGAAACTCTTCCGCAACTATTCCCGCATGATGAGGCATCAGGCCACGCACTTTCCGGAACGTCCACAGTATGATTGTGAGCAGTGCGATCGAAGCTATCGCACAAAACAAGCGCTCAAGGTCCATGTTGAAACGAAGCACGAGTGGACGGGATATAGCTGTAGCGTCTGCGGTAAACTCTATGCCATACGCAAGGCGCTCGAGATACATATGCGCTACCACACCGGCGATTTCCCATATGCCTGCGACCAGTGTGACAAAAAATACGCACAAAGCTCCCATCTAAAGGTCCACAAGAATGTGCACCACAGAAAACAGCGTTTCATATGTGATTATCCCAATTGTGGCAAATTCTTTACATCCTCAAACTCGTTGCGAAATCATCAATGCACCCACTCACAAATGCCATTCGAGTGTTCATTTTGTCAACATGGCTATCCAGCACGTGCCAAGTAAGTAAACACAATCATTGACATAATTATATACTTACATACTTAATATATCTAACGGTTGAAGTCACGGACACAAGTGTAAAGAATTTGCACAGCAATTTGTGCATTTTACGATTTGGATTGAAAAGTAATCCAAAGAAAGTTGGTTGGTTTTATTGAAATTAAAGCCATTTTCGCGACATACATACTATGTACTTGTCGTGTTTACTATGCAAAATATTTGTCTGTCTGACCAAATCGACGCTTCTACACTTCCTTTGCAATGGCTTTTCTCGTGTGTATGTATGTATTATCTATTTGTCCAATCTATTTCAGTTTTTGTTTAAAATTTGTGAATAGCATTCTTTGTTCTTTCCCAAATGCTCCAAGCTTCCGTCATGAATTATTAATTCGCAGTTATCTTTATCCGATTTAAACATCATTATCTTCAAGTACTTCAATAATGACTCTCTTCCAAAACTAAAGTTTGATAAAAAAATAAGTTACAAAGTTAATCGATATTTATGGGACATTTATAGAAAATAACCTTTTATTATTGTCAGATTACTTGTTATTGTTATAAATACATACTTACCGAGACAAATCTTAGTTTATTACTAACCATTGATTGCCTCATTATTTAGTTACGATTTTTATGATATGGTTTATTGAAGTTATTATGTGAGTCTGTGGTGTCTAACTTCTTTGTTTTGTAAAATATAGTTTCACACAACTCTTTCTATAACTTTGTTGTGTTTAGAGATTACTTTTATCAAAATAGATACTTTTGTGTCATTTGCTGCGCTCTTTAATTTCCCTTCTAGGCTACGCAACCACATTCTACGTAAACATAACAAAGATCTGACTCTGGACGAATTGGAAGGCATGCGAAAATTTCACATAGCGCGCTCTACACCCCTGTTAGCTCAGATCGTAACCGAGAAAAACTGATATGAAGACTAGTGACTTTTTTTCACATTAGGTTTAAGTATAACTTTCGATATTATTTAGAAATTCGTACTCGAAATTGGATTAGGGATAGTTCTAAATATGTTTCATCTACATAAATAACATATATTGATGGTGTTTATTTGAAACGCGGTATTTGTATACCCTTCAATCTTTAAAATATGTGCAATATTTCCAATATCTTGAATGATATTTTTGATCCAAGAAGCCGCTGCTTCAATTATTTTGATGTGCATTTAATTTTAATCGATTCCAATATATTATGCTGCATTTACATTCTGTATAAGATGATTTTTTAAAAGTAACTATATTCGATTACTTTGTGGGAAAATGGAAATTTTGAAGAATTTCAAAATCATGAAATTAATTGATATTAATAGAGAGTTTAGACCCTGAGCCTATTCTCAGCATTGAAAATTCCCTTTATATACTTAAGTAGCTTTTATATACTTAGTTATATGATGTGCAATTTTTTAAATATTTTTCCATTTAGTGATGCATCCGCATATTTGAATATACCTTTCCTAAAGTATGTGAAAAATAACAAATAAAAACAATTCATACATTCTTAAGTACATGGGATTTCAAAAACTAGTAGAGGGTTGTTAAAGAAACTTATTTTTAATTACCATTATTTATAAGAAACTCAACTTTTTTATTCTCAGCATTGGGTATTCCTAATTAGTCTTAAAATAATTAGTTACCTGGAAATTTAATAAAGAAATATAAAAAAAACATTTTGAAAAGCATTATGCCTGTTCAGCCCCAAAAAATAAAGCAAACCTCTCTGTTCTGTGTTCAATATTTAATTCTAAAATATCGGTCTATGTATTTAAAAGCAATATAATAACTTGGGAACAATCGGTTGGAAAATCAACCTTAGTACCCAAAACTTGTTAGTTTATTACAATATTTTGTAATCAAACTTGGTGGTTATTAGTGTTTGATTTAGTGTTTCACTCTAATCTGAAGTTTAATGTTTAATGCCATAGGAACGATCGGTGGAAAAATCATTCTAAGTACCATAAACTTGTTTGATGTATTTAAATATTTTAACTGCATTAATATTTACGTGTCTAGGATTCAAATTAAAATTAGTAGTGATCCCAAAAAAAAACCATTAGCAACAACAATCATTTCACAAATATCACATTTAATGTATTTCACGAATTCAATGTTTTTTGTTTTGTTTTTACAATAACTTACAACAACAACTACACACATACACACATAAATGCATAGATAGTAGTTAGTATGGTGGGTGGACATCCTTCAGCAGGGACTAGTATACCATGTGTAGAGACTGATTTGCAGCCTCAATGGGTGAGCGCGGCGGCCAGCTGCAGGGCTTTGTTGGTGGCATCGTCGGGGTGGGAGGAGCCCGTCGCCGTGCCCGTTGTAGTGGTGGCCATTGCGTTGCCATTGCTTGCCTCGGCTCGACGCCGGGACGTGATCTTCTTCCAGCCGCGCAACAGGATCTGATTGCGATACTTGGGCGTGGTGAAGGTGTAGAGTAGCGGATTAACGGCCGAGTTGAGTGGCAGAATGAAGACGACGAGCCAACCATAAATATCATCCGATATATTATAATTGAAGAACACCCAAATCTTCATGGCTATAATGGGAACCCAGCACAACACATCTGTCAGCACAATGAAGAAGAAGCGCACCGCAAACTCGCAGTCCAGCAGCGAGAGGGGCGTGGCACTGCGCTTCCGAGTCCTCCAAATCGATATCAGCAGCGCCGTATATAGCAACGCAATCATGATCAGCAAAAACAGGTTCACGCCCAGAAAAACAAAGGCCGAGTACTGCCAGCCCAAGGGATACGCCTCGTGTATATGGAGTGGGAAACAAGTGCCTGAATGGGAGCCATAGAAATGTTTTCCCGAGTGCCAGAGCAGCACAGGCGTCACCGCCAGACCCACGCCCGTAAACCAAATGCAGAGCAGCGAGAGACAGATAATGCGCACACTAATGCTCCGATGGCCCTTAAAGGGATCGGCTATGAGCAAAAATCTTTCCAGCGACATAAAGGCCAAGATGAGCATCGAAACTTCCGAGGAGCTAACGGCCAGCGTGCCAATGGCGGTGCATTGCCAGGAGGAGATCCAATCCAGGGCGACTCTGCGAGAAAGAAAATGAAAGACTCAGATATATGTTAGAATTATTTCAGGATGTGTTAAAGAATATGAAAGTTTGGGAAACAATTTCCGGTGTTTTATCTAATATTAAAAGCTTGGGGTGGAAAATGGAAATTGTTGATATCATTTCTTATTAATTTCCTAATATTTGCTGAGGATTACGGAAATAGGGAAATACTTTTCTCTAAACTCATTTTAGAATTGCAAATAATAGTTTTTTTAATTTTATAAAATTCTTGTAACCGTGGAAAGTCCGATGTCTGAATGGCATAAAACATTTTAAAAGGGAATACAAAAGTCTCTTCAAAATCAGATTAGTTCATCAAGTAATGTTAAGATTATAAAAAAACTTTGGTGCCTTTAACAGCTCTTCCCAAAAAGAAACACTCTTTCATTATTTACACATCTACCAGAAATCTTCCGCACGTATAGCCTTTTCTTTTAGCCTTGAAAGCAATTTTTGAAAGAGTTGCAATTCTTGTTGTATTTCTGCGAATAATAGAGTTATTTAATTTTATTAAATTCTTGTAACGGGAATACGAAAGTTTCTTCAAAATCAGATTCAGGTTCATAAAGTAATGTTAAGAATCTGAATAAGGTTACTAAGTTCTGTCTACAATAGCTCTATCCAAAAAGAAGCACTCTTTCATTATTTATTTAAGAATTACAAATCTACCAGAAATCTTCCTCAATTAATAGCTTTTTCGTAGATAATTTTTGAAAGAATTGTAATTATTTTTGTTTCAACTTTTGAATGTTAACTTTTATTCATATTTTACTTTAAAGTACTTACTTGTAGTATTCGTTTCTAAATCGATAGTCCTGCACACCTATGGTTATCAAGTAGAATCCCATTAACATATCTGCCAGTGCCAGATTCCTGATGACCATCGTGACGGCCATATGCTCGTCCCGGTAGATGAAACGACCCCACAACACCATCACATTGCCACTGATGGTAAGCGTGGCCATGATCCAGGCGGAGTAGCGAAGCACGGGCTTGCTGAGCAGATCCTGCAACGAGGATATACCGTCTGAGGAGGGCTTACAATTGCGCACCTGGGGGGAGTGGGAGCAGTAGAAGAAGCGATCGTAGACCACATATTTGAGATTCCTCAACGAGTTGATGGCTCCGAAATCGATGTGGTCGTAACGAATGCCCGTCAGGTTGAGAAAGGACACGTTCAGTGGCTGGAACAGGCTCCGATGTATATGCACAGGCATCTGTGCCAGAGAACTAAGAACAGAACAGCAGAGAAGTGGAGAGGGGAAGTCAGCAGTGTTTGTGGTGGGGAGGTCAATAATTTTCGAGCCTCACTTACAGGGCTTCCAAATGACTGCTGTGTAGAAATGTTTCGCCAGATAATTCCTTAATGGGATTGCCGGCGAGGCGGCTGTAAAACAAAATGCATGCATTTATGTATATATGTTGGCTTTACTCGCTGAGTGTATATTTGTGTGTGTGTGTTGAATGTGACGCGTGTTGTGGCTGTTAAGACGCATACATTGCGTATACGCCGCAGTGTACTTAAGCCTTAAATAATAGACGTTGTCGCTGTTGGCTGATAAAAAGCCAGAGCTTTAAAGTTAAATACAAGTGAGAAATTATTTGTAAAAACGATGAAAGACAAAATGCTCTAAAAATGAAATTTAGAAATATTTCATTAAAAAAATTTCATTTAAGTCAAATTTTGGCAACAAGTGCCTCGATATTGCTAGAACACTATTATTTAATTATTTGGTTTCAAATTGTCAAATAAAAAAACATAAGCGGGTGATCGAAAATTCAATAACCATACTCCATAACACTTATTCAAGAATTATTTCCCTTTGAGGATATTATCCGCAGAAAAAATATATAGTAGTTTCCTTTTAAATCGGTTCTTTTGTATCATAATTTTCCTTCGTGTTTAAATTTATTTTAAACTTGAATAGTTTTTTAAACAAAATTGTTAATTATAATAATTATTTATTTAATTATTATAATTATTTATGACTGTCCCTTTGCTACTTAATAAACTAAGGGAATACATTGATAATTACTATTTAAGACAAACATTTTTATATCATTTAAAAATGTATTTTATTATATTGAGTGAAGTAAACAGAAAGTAGTCGAATTAATAAAAAAAAACTTTGAAGAAAAAATGTTATCCTAAGAAGCTTTAAATATTTAAATGTAGAAACAAAACAACAGAACAGCACACAGAAAGTAGTCGAATTAATAAAAAAAAAACTTTGAAGAAGAAATGTTATCCTAAGAAGCTTTAAATATTTAAATGTAGAAACTAAACAAAAATCCAACAAAAAGGTTGCCGTCTTAAAAAAGAATTTTTTGGTTAAAATGATGTTAAAAAATGTACATTTTTGAAATTTTTATGTGTCTGTTTAAATTTAATATTAAATGTAAACTAATTAATTTTTTTTACTCTTATTTAAATAAAAAAAAATACGTTAAAGCTTTAGTTAATTCTTAGAGTAAAACCAAATACACTTTTTTCTCACACCCCTCTCATTCATTTTTATCACCTGAAGTCTGCACTCTGTTTTAATTGTTACATAAACTAGTTAACAGCTTTACGACTGCATGCCATAATTATAAATATATGTATGTTTATGTGGCAGCTTATGTTGAATGAGTGCGTGTCCTTAAAATATTGCCGTCTGTCCTGGGGCTAAAGTGCTTCAAAAGTCAGACACATACGAGTACAATGCCAGCAGCCAAATACCTTAGACGCCCCACATTTTAAGGCATAATAACGTAAATTCTTATTTAATAGCTGCGAGCATAATATAAATCACTAACCCCAAAGCCATTCCTCCATTTCCGATGCCAAAAAGCAAACGCAAGCCAAGAAGCTGACTTGCAAGTCAGTCAGTCAGTTAGTTAGTTCGCTAGTCAGTCGGTGAGTCAGTGGCAGGAAAAAGCGCATCATTCGTGACACTCCAGGGTTAACAGGGTGGGGAATAGGGGAGGAGGGGGGGGAGGGACAGTGTCTTAAAGATAACTTGCACAATGCTGTGTGAAGTTCGACAGCTGACGATGTTTAGCTAAATGTAATGCAATTCCGTTCGACTACAGTCCCTTGGGCAGTTGCATAAACGTGTATACTCGTGTGTGTGTGTTTATGTGTATGTGTATGTGTGTGTGTGTTGCACATAATGGATATTGCTGCAACCGAAGCACAGTGTGGTCATTTATTTGTAACAAGTTCAAGTTAAGGATTCTTTATAATACAAAATTTAGCTTCAGAGCAAGAGAAGAAACTCCTTAATCGACCCTCACTGGCATTGGAAGCGAAGCAGAATAATAAGTTATCTCTCAAACTTGTTCCCAATTTTTTTTCTAAATATGGTTAGAATAGATTCTCTTCTTCTTCATCCATGAACGTATATTTATTGAAATGTAGGCGGGCGAGATTTACTAATTATTACATTTTATAAATTTTCTAGTGTGTGTCACTTTATCAGAAAATATTTATAAAACAATAGATTATTAAACATGCAGTCCAATTTGATTTAAGCTTAAAGTCTACTACCGAAATAAATTAAATAATTTTAATATAGCAAACACATATAAAAAACTTATTTTTAATTTTATTTATTCAACAACAAATAGAAAATCCAAGAAATAGAGAACTTAAAGCAAACAAAATTGAAAACTCCGTTAAAAGCATAATTATATTTAATATTTTTTAACGACTCGATGTGGGAATTTTATTTGCCAACCGGCCAGTGGCTGGAGAGCCTTTTTGTTACTTGAAGGAATTAAAATAATAATAATTATTATTTATTAAAATAAAAATAATAATAATGAAGGAATTAAAATTAAAATAATAAAAACAGCAACCTTACATAAATACATTTTAATTAAATGAAAATACTTAAATAATGAGCAATGCGAATATAATTTAAAAACTAAAAAGTGGAAAATCCCGATGGGGGAAGTTTATACGCCAGTCCGACAAGCTATGCCCCAATTGGAAGCTAGGGGCTAACAACAAATAAAAGGTTTTATAGTCGTCGAGGATTGTATAAAGCGAAGATCTTCAAATTTATAAAATAAACCAAAGAGCTTTTCATTAATTAAAGAAAAGAATGAATTGTAGTTTGTTTAAAAAGAAACTTCCTCTGTCGTCAAAGATTAAAAAATACAATTGAATATTGACCTACAATTCTGCATTCACCTGCTTAAATGAATGATTATTAAAATTATATAACTCTTGCCACTGTGCCACATTGTGCTTTGTGGCCATTGCTTGCACTTGTCTGGTCAATCAATGCAAGCGCCAACTGCCATCAGACACTAAACGTGCTTTTATAGTTTGACGCACACAAAGACAAGGCGCTTCCCTCTCTCTGGGCAGCCATCATCCCATCCCATCCCATCCCATCCTCCCATCCTTCTTGCTCTTGCCAGTTGTGGGTAATTGCTCTGAGCTATAAAGTTGCTCTACTGTGGCTATGACGCTGGGATATTTTATATATAATGCTCAAGCTGTTGGCTGCGTCACATAAAATAAATATTAGCTTTGGCCGCACTCCGGGTTGACAAAAATTAACATAAATTATTGCTAATAATATGTTCAAAAAATGTTGCTTCTCCCCTCAAACGCCATGTCAAACAATTTCATGGAACTTAATTTCATTTAATTATACATAAACAGGCTTTTGTTGTGCGGTTGAGGCCCTTTCGGGTTGGATCCTAGGCCCAGGCATAAACATGGCATTTAATAACTGAATAAATGTCGAGAGATGCCCCCTCCCCGGCCAATTAACATAATTCTTTTGGCAATGTATGGCAACAAGTTGTATGCCCAAGTAATGCCAATTGCTCATGCAAGCGCACACAATCACACACACACGCACACACACACTTAAAGGCAAACACGAGCGGCCACAGTCTAGCGTGCGCACAAAAGTAGGCAACATAATGCGTCAGCAGCAATACACATTTAATAACTGGCGCTTATAATTGAGTTAGTGTGAGTGTACTTGTGTGTGCGTGCGTGTGTGTGTGCGTGTACGTGCAGTGAAAGTAACAAACAACACAATGCAAGCAGCGGTATTAAAATTTCAATTGAAATGGCACGTCCATCGTGAATCCTTTGGGCAATGCCATGCGGCCATGCGGCCATGTGGCGCTTTATTGGCATCCCCTTTTCGCAATTGCTGGCCGTAATTAATGGTAATGTTTGGTCCAGTGCTGGGCCAACTTTAATACTAAAAGCTACTTAAAGCCCGCTCGGACAATTGTTTGGTAAGCATATGCATGCCGAACTCGACCAGAAATCAAATTAGTACAAGGATATTTTTTTATAGCACCAAGAAGACGTACAGACAACGAAAAATCAAATCAGCAGATTTGTAGACAGCAAGAAAAGGAAGACAAACTCGTGCTGGCACGCACGCTCACACACACATACACATAGAATCTTACGCACGCACGCACGCACACATGAATCGCATTTAGATGCGTCCTCGTAACTCAAAGATACTAAAGTTTTGCCGGTCCAGTTCAGCGCCAACAAATTTTGCGGGTCAAGCGCCACAAAAGTCAATCATATTATACACGCATGTACCTTCTTCTAACGAGCATCCATCCGCCATCTACACTGTGTGACGCCATTTGCAACGCCACAACAATCAACTGGCAAGAAATTGCCACAAATTGTCGAACTAAAAATAAATGCCTTGAACGAAGTCAACTGATTGTAATTTAAAATTGCAGCGCAGCACCCTACCGCGTTAGAAGGCAGCTTTTTAAATTTGAGGAACTAATGTAAATAATGTTAAGCCGACTTTCAAAATTCAAAACTAAATAGTTGTAAACTTTTACAGAATTTTAAGTTCTTTTACAAATTTTACAAAGTAGAATAAAGTCGATTGATTGTAATTTAAAATAGCAGCGCTCTTCTCTACTTCCTTCAAAGGCAATATTATTAATTTATAGAAACTAATATAAGTAATATAAATAGTTATTGTTATATAGGACCCTTTACAGAATTCGAAGTATTTTTACAAATTTTACAAAGTAGAATAAAGTCGATTGATTGTAATTTAAAATGGCAGCGCTCTTCTCTACATCCTTAAAAGGCAGCTTTTTAATTTTGAGAAACTAATATAAATAATATGAAGTCGACTTTCTAAATTAATAAACTAAATAGTTATAATTATATGGCAACTTTTACAGAATTTTAAGTAAATTTACAAATTGTACAAAACTAAATGAAGTCAATTGATTGTAATTTAAAATAACAGCGCTCTTCTCTACTTAAAAGGCAGCATTTTATACCCTGTAAAGGGTTAAAAGGGCTTGCTCGACTGTAGCGTTCTCTATTGTTTTCTTTTAAAGTTGACATTTGTTTATTTGTGTTCTGAATTACGTTTTTAATTTAATCTGAAGGTAGTAAAGATTTCTTTTTCAAAATGGTTGAGTATTTTTATTAAATTAATTAAAATAAATTAATTTATGGATACTACGGAATTCTTTTTTAAAGAATTTGAGAATTATTTAAAAAAAAACGTAATATATTTTTTTAAAAAATAAGTCTCCAGATGGGCGATTAAATTGTTAATACTTCTGGGCCTACATGTGTCCCAATTTTGATATAACTCTTAATTTGTTGTTAATCTTCAAACATTATATGAATCGTAAACATTTGCTTTCAAAATTATTTACATATATACAATTTCACATATATACAATTTATTAAACTAGTTTTCTAAAATTATTTAGTTTAGAATCTGTTGTTTGTTCTTTGTTAACTTAGGTAAATTATTTCTTGTTACACTTGCGAATTGTTATTCGGATTGCGCTACACTTTAAGTTTTTTTATGTAAACTCAACGGAATTTAAAAGCAATTTAAACAAGCAATTATTTATTAACATTCTCGGGAATGCCAATTGAATGTGAGTGTATAAAAGGTGCTGGCTTGGCAACATAAAAGCTGCTGCTTTTCCGTTTAATATATTTTAGCTGATGCTACATGCTGTTAAAAAATTCACAACACGCTTGAAACGCATTATTTGCATGTGTACACACACACTCACACATACACATATACATGCATATATATATGTATATGTGAGCCGTCAACCCATCCACCTTGGACAGAACTGGGCAGCCCAGAGGGCACATCATCAACAGGCGATGGCAGCGGCAGGCATTATTTTCGCTTTCAAAGGCAAAAGGATTCCACATGGCCAAGAGAACGAGCAACGACTTTTGGGCTAATGAAGCAATGTTTAGTGCGACCCGCACCCGAAGACAGACATTTCAATAAACTCCTTCATTATGGCCTGGCCAGGACAAGACAGCTTTTTGAGCAACTCAGCTAAGTCAGCTCAGTCAGCCAGTCAGTCAGTCAGTCAGTCAGCAAGTCAACCAGTCAGGCAGTCAGAATCAGTTGAGTTCTAGTCATCAGTTCATCAGCTTAACTAAGGAGCTTCGGTTTGGCGAAATTGTTTTCACATAAAATACAAATTTATTTGCATTTTTATTTGGTCATAATAATGTATGTTTATTTGTGTGTTTGCTGTTCGTTGTCGTGGTGTTGGTGTTGGTGTTTGAGCGCCTCGAGGCGTAAAGGTTCGTGGAAAAAGTCAAAGCGCAGACATTGTCCCAAAAGAGATACAAATACACATATATATATGTATATTTGTTTACTCACACACTATACTATACATATTAACAGACTATATTGTGAGCAAAATCGTTGGCCAATTTGGTCAAGTAACGGCACACGAATTGTGTTTGTGTCTGCGTCTTGTTATCAGCATTGATATGCTGATGTATTTGTGTAGTAGTTCTTCTTTTTTCCTTGCGATTCATTTCTTTTAGTCGCTTTTTTTCCTTCACTGGCTAGTGTGCAAATTTATTAACGCCACAGCTTGATGCTAAGTTGACTTCTGGCTGTCTTTGGTGCTATAGCAATTTGTTATGATTGACGCTGGCCTTTGTAGTATTTATTGTATATTGAATTGCAATATATATGCTAAGCTTTGAACTGAGACTGTTTTTTTTCTTGGCCGCATGAACTCGCGCAAATTAGTCAACAGACAGGCAATGTGTTGGTTGGGGTCACAAAAAGTAGTTCATTCTATAAATAGAACTTATTTATTGTTTAGAGACAGCACTGAATAAAATTTAGAACATTGTTGTGCAGATGGAAACATTATTTGAAAAGAAAGTCATTCGTTTTTAGGCAAGGAAATTAAAATTGATTTTTTAATTAAAATAATATCTAACATCTGGTAGCCTTCTTTTTTCTACGTAATAAAAAATAAAAAATGTTGGTTGTTTATTTATGTTTGTTTATAGTTAGTTTTCCATAATATTTAGTACTTCTATTGTTTTTCTTTTAAATAAAAAATTTATTTGTTTATTTATGTTTGTTTATAGTTAGTTGTCCATAATAGTTAGTATTCCTTTTACTTTTATTTTAAAGCTTTTTTGAAATAATTATTTATTAATTTTTATGGCAAGCCTGAACATTTTGTTTATACATATATTTAAACTTTCATTAAAGATGAATAAAAGACCATCCTAATTGCATAAAGCTTGCTTGCTTTTTGAAAGGGAATTTATAAACACGTTATGATTGTCACTAAATGGATTTCTGCGTTTACTAAATGTACTCGCTTTGATGACACTACCTGCCTGAATTCTCCTTTTAATTAATTTCGCCATAAATTTTAAAATAGAAAAGACTTTAAGCTGAAAACACCGAACTCCTAAAAGTATGCACTAAATTTGAATAATTTCAAACAAACCACAAACTTTTTATTTGTAAACAAAAGGTGTTTCAAAATATTATATTTTTCTGCGAGAATTTAAAATATGTTAACAAAATAAATAAACAATCGAAATATCTCAGTTTTGTAAATATTTGTATTTGCTTATTTTTTTTTGCTATGCTCTAATTAAATTTCGATTTAATCACAAACTTTTTTATTTGTAAACAAGAGGAGTATAGAAATATTACTGTTTTCTGTTAGATTTTTAAACCCATAAATAAATAAATAAATAAACAATTGAAATATCTCAGTTTTGTGAATAATTGTATTTATTTTTTTCCTATGCTTTAATTAAATTTCAATTTAATCACAAAACTTTTTATTTGTAAACAAGAGGAGTTTTCTGCGAGAATTTAAAATACGTTAAAAAAATAAATAAACAATTGATATATCTGTTTTGTGAATAATTGCATTTATTCGTTTTATTATTTATTATTTTCACTGAAGATTATGTTTAACGTTTGACACAAATAAGCGTTACTAAAAATATAAATTTTACTCGTTTACACATTTGCGATGTCTTCTGCGGCACGTTAAATGCATTTGCACAAATTTTATGGACCTGTTTCGATCATTTTATGACTACAGGGTATACACATATAACTAATAAGTATGCTTACGCCTCAAAGTTCACACACCAACACAGAGATTGCCAGTCCATCGCAGTTATTAACATTTTTATGAGCCCAATGCGAGCCCCCGCAGCATTTCTCGCTTATTGATTTCTATTCACATAACTTTTGCTTTTATTGGGCTGTCCACGATTGCTCGTTTTTTAATGTTCATGCTGTAGTATTATTTATTATTTCAATGTCCAAGTTGTTATTTGCTATGTTATGTTTTCTCTTTATTTGTTGCCGGCCCAAGTTTTCAACTTGAATGTTATTCTCGTATACGTAATTACGCATTAATGAATTAAAATTAATGACACTTATTTTGAATAACAAAAACGGCAGCGACAGAAAAACACTGAAATGAAAACAACTCCAGCAACTAAGGGCTCTGACTTTTGGCCTCATGTGTAGACGCATTTGCAATGCTAATTGTTGTAGTGTTAGACTTGTGTGTGGGTCGGTCAGTTCATAGTTTCATAGTTCATACTTACATATCACGTATATTTCCCAGACCCCAAAAGGCGCGCGCATGTATGTGCGTGATGAGATTTTGTTGCAGGTCGCTGGAAAAGTGCAAGAATTAAAGAAATCAATATAATAGGTATGGGAATTTAAGAGAAAGAGAAGGAAATGGAAATTAGTTAAAATAGAAATAAAAGGAATTAAATTTGAAATATGTATTTATTATATTTTTATGTCAACTGTGACTTCAGACTGTCGACATAAGAAAACCTTAAAAAAGTTGTGAAAAAGCTAGGAAAGCCTAAGTAGGTGAAATCTAAAAAAATTACAAAATGATGTAAAAAATCTTATATTTAAAATTAAATAATATAATTTTATGCAGGAAAAAAATCAAAAGATACTGTGAGTTAACACTTCAAAATTATAAAGTATATCCAGAAAATATCTAGTAAAGAAAAGCACTTTGATAAAATAGCTGTAACAAAGCATGCTAGCATGGCCTAGTATATAGATTTATCGAAATTGTTTAGAACTAATTTACCATTCAGGCTTTAAGGCTTTAATTATTGATTTGTTATGCAGTTAATTTTTATCTTTTAATGTCATTTATACTTTTATTTCAACAGTTGAAAAAAAACTACATTTATGATAGGAAATAAATATATTACTAATTTTTGTAAATGACAAAAACTGAATATTTAAAAAGAGATGAAATCTGCACTGCCACACTCTATTATAGCTACGATATCATAAGCTATATACCAAGCACTACTATATATAACATAATACATATGTATATTAATTGAGGCACTGTCCTGTTTAAAATAAAAAATATCATCAGCATTAAAGGATTCTCCAAGCCTCTATTCATAATGATGTGAATTTACCAATCTGCTAAGCAATTGATATATTTTTGTTAAGATTTAATTTAGAAATAAAGTTGTATTCCTGTTTTTATTATATATTTGTGCTATTCCTGCATAACTGTAGAATATAAATTGATTGTAGAGCACTTGTTTACTAATTTAGCCTTCAGAGACACAAACATATGCCTAAAGCGAGATTAAATCTCTGCCAGCAGCTAAGAGGGCTGCCTAATTTCCATCAGTAATTTGGCACACACTGATTTATTTACACCTACACAAACATATGTAAGCACACACACACACACACAAGGATAGACACAGACAGAGAGGCACAGAGAGCCACGTAATGGCGAGACCTATTGACTTATATTGTCAGGCATTGATGCATGAATTAATGATTATAGAAGCGAGGCACAGCAAGTGCTGCGTCCTGCCTGATAAATGCCGACAAATTGTCTGCAGCTATTTGGCAATTTAATACCAAAGGAGGTGTGTGCTTATGTGTGTGTGGGTGTGTGGGCGATTTGCATACTTAGCCGACACACCTTTTTGGGAATCCCAGCAAAGTAGTCGCAGCATTTTTATATTTATTTAGCATATGGTGTGTGCGTGTGTTAACAATTTATTTGTTTCTCATAAAGGACAATTTATGTTTATTGGCGCATAAATTTGATTTAGCCAGGTGTCATGTCAACCAAAATGATGTCTTTAACATAACATAGCTACGATGTACGTATGTATGTACTTTAAGGCGTGCACTACGTGGGGGGAGGCTATGAAAAGAAAACAAATGTCCCTCCACAACATTGTCATTAAATGCTTCGGCAGACAAAATGTGTACTAACCCATATAAATCTTGTTACAACGCCGCACGCCGATTTGCGCAAAATGATAGCTGCAGAGAGACAAAAAAAAAAGAAAAAAAAAAAAAGAAAAAATGGAGGAACAAGAACAGAGCAGACATGCAGCGAAGAGTAAAAATTACGCATACGCACCATAAACCCTAAGTACAACATATTTCAATAGACTTTTCGACACTTTTGCTTTGTGTGTTTGTGTGCAGGCGAAAGTTAAAAATAAAGCAAAGCTAAGTTAAACAGCCAAGTGTAATAGTCTCTTAGGAAGTTGGCAAATTGGTGAGTTCTTGTGAAGGGGGAGTAAAAATATATACTTTCTGCTCGTACTTACAGCAAATGTAAATTATCCAATTGTGCGAAAGTTTGCTCGCCAATGTATTCGATCCTATTAAAATCCAAATAACTGTGAAGTAAATGGAATATTTATGTATGAAATGCGGTCACAATAACAACAACAACAACAACAATAGGCCTTAGCATCTGTTTATGCTCAGTCTCTGTGTTTAAGCCATAGCTTTTGCATGCTTGTGTGGCCAACTGATATACGTTTGTCGATCCAGTCAGTCAGATAAAACCGAGAACACTGCGCCTATAAACACAGAGCTATACAGTTTACTTAATAGACTAGCATATTTTTTTTACTGCATAAGAAGGGACCACACCTTATGTCAGCCAATTGCTTTGTGGGTGGATATCGGACTGTTTATCTACAAGTTTATTTAACCCTTTAAGAGGACTTCAGAAATGGAAAGGAACAATCAAAGCTGTCAAGGTTTTCGACTCGAGATAAACTCTGCAATAAGGATATGTGATTTAGATGAAACTCGCTAGCAAATATTTAGTTTCAAAGGGCTTTTAAAATTAGGAAGTTAGCACAAAATCGATCGATATTTTCGAAGACTAATAGTAAGACTTTTTAACTCGAGCGATTTAACTGAAACTCCCAAACAAATATTGTTTAAATAGGCTTTTAAAATTAGGAAGTTAGTACAAAATCGATCGATATTTTCGAAGACTAATAGTAAGACTTTTTAACTCGAGCGATTTAACTGAAACTCCCAAACAAATATTGTTTAAATAGGCTTTTAAAATTAGGAAGTTAGTACAAAATCGATCGATATTTTCGAAGACTAATAGTAAGACTTTTTAACTCGAGCGATTTAATTGAAACTCCCAAACAAATATTGCTTAAAAAGGCTTTTAAAATTAGGAAGTTAGCACAAAATCGATCGATATTTTCGACGACTAATAGTAAGACTTTTTGACTCGAGCGATTTAACTGAAACTCCCAAACAAATATTGCTTAAAAAGGCTTTTAAAATAAAGAAGTTAGCATAAAATCGATCGATATTTTCGAAGACTAATAGTAAGACTTTTTAACTCGAGCGATTTAATTGAAACTCCCAAACAAATATTGTTTAAATAGGCTTTTAAAATAAAGAAGTTAGCACAAAATCGATCGATATTTTCGACGACTAATAGTAAGACTTTTTAACTCGAGCGATTTAACTGAAACTCCCAAACAAATATTGCTTAAATAGGCTTTTAAAATAAAGAAGTTAGCACAAAATCGATCGATATTTTCGACGACTAATAGTAAGACTTTTTAACTCGAGCGATTTAACTGAAACTCCCAAACAAATATTGTTTAAATAGGCTTTTAAAATAAAGAAGTTAGCACAAAATCGATCGATATTTTCGACGACTAATAGTAAGACTATTTAATTCGAACTGCAGAATATATTTTATTCTTGTATAGAATAAATGTAATACTCGACTTTGGTTCAATAGGTTTTAAAGCAAAGAACTTATGGCAGAATCTATTGACAGTTCTAATGACAGTATGTCATAACAGTATAGCAATAATTTTTTGTTCAAATACAAGCAGAGTTTATAAACTTTAATCCTTAGTTGTGAAGGCAGAAATAAATTAGTTCTAATTTCTTTAAACTACTACTCCAGCTGTCTTAATACATTCAAAAACAATTGTTTAACTTGCATTTCCATTTAAATGCCCTACACGCTCCAGCTTAAATGCTATTACCTTTGCTACAAGCTTGCCTTTACAGCAAAAGGGTTTTCCCTATATATGTGCCATATGTGTATGTTTATGAAAAGAAATTGGGGGAGTGGGGAGAATATTTACGCTTCAATAGCTCGCCAATATTGCACACCTTTCGTCCAAGTCCGATTGCGAAATACTTGTAGTACACTTTTTTTTAATCTAACAAAGAGCTGTCCCTTTCCCCCAGACTTACATTTCATAGAGGGACCGCATTTTGGGCAAATGCTCGTTGTGCAGCGCCAGACGATTGTGACTCAGCACCAACCACTCCAGTCGCGGCATCAGAGCCAAATGCTCCATGGGGAAGTAGTGCAGTTGATTGGAGAGAAGGAAGAGCCATTGCAGGGAGTGGAGGCCGCTGAAGAGACCGTGTGGCAGATAGCTGATATTATTGAAGCTGACCTCGAGCCGTTCCAGGTGCGGCAGCCCACTGAAGCTGCCCAGCGGCAACCGTGATATGTTGTTGTATTTAAGTGTGCTGTGTGGTTGGGTGTAGATGGTTCAGATAATTGGAGATATGACAAATATTATATATATACAAGTATTAACTCACAGCTTCTGCAGACGCGTCAGATTGGCAAAGACGTGTTCGCGCAGCGTCAAATTATTGCGTATGATGATGAGATTGGTTACCTAAACACACACACACATATATATAGTATGCCATAATGGATACGGATTGGTTAATTGCTATAGATTTGTATAGTCATCTCGTCATCTATAACACCTACCTCGGCGCTGATGCGTGGCCAGCGACGCAGCTTGGCGTAGCGTCCGCAGTAGAGAATGCTGCGCTGACCGCATTGGCAATTCTTCGGATATGTGCTAATTTCTGTAGAATAGAAAATACATAGCCAGTTTATAGTACATTGAATTGGGGAAATATTAATTTCTTTTTTAACAGCTAACTGCAATAGCTGCGATATCCTGTTTACGGCCAGGAACGTCGAGCTTCTCAAAATAGCTTTCAACTGCAGGCTCCACCTCTGCATTATGTGAAAATTTCTTCTTAAGGAGCCACTTTTTTCAAGTTTCCAATTTCAAAAAGGAAGTACTTGTAGTTCAAAGGGAATTTTTATTTTAATTCATGACCAGCAATGAAATGATGTTGTAAAGAACTAAGGCTTTCTTTTTGACTGAATGCGACTGCCTATTCTTGATTTCCTCACTCCTTTTCTTTTGGCAAGTAGTTCCACATAGCCCTAAAAAAACTGACATCATTTCTTTGCCTGCAGTTGGAACAATCTTGGTCTTCTATGGAGCCAATTCTTCCTCTTCAGTCCAACCTATGACCTATGCGTCTTCCATGGCTTTGAATCGCAACAAAAACTGGGCTTAATTAGGTAATTTTATTTTAATTTTTGGTAGAGTCTTCAAACTCTCAACCATAAGATGCTGTTTATAATTTTTATATATTTTCCTCCTATGTCGACAGTCAATGTCTGTTGATATAAATAAATAAATAAGGCGTTACTAAAACGACAATTCCCAGTCGATGTAAAATTGAAATATATTCTATTTTGACTTCTCAAAAAAGTTTTCAAATTCTAAGTTTCCCTTACACTGTAAAAAAGTTGCTGTTTCAAAAGGTAGAGCCATACACTTTATTTGAATGTTAAGAAGAAAATTGTAAACTATGCATAGCCTGAAACTATATTTTTTGTGAAAAGTCACACTTTTTTCAATAAATCGTGTATAAATTTCAGCGAGGAATTTATTTTATTTATTGTGAGTTTATTGACATTATTGTGTTCAATACTTACCACAAAGCATGCTCTGATTTCTCATACGTTGTGATGTATTGGTGGTTGTTGTTGTTGTTACTGTTGTCCCGCCTGCAGCTGTTGTTGTTGTTGTTGTGGCTATAGTCGTCAGCTCGGGCGACAGATTGGCGGTTATATTGGAGTCGAGCGAAGGCTTAAATATGGTGAGCAGCCCCTGCTGTTGTTGCTTTTGCTTTTCAATCGCATTACGAACTATTTTATCGGCAATCTCTTTGCTGCCATAAAGCAATCCACACTCGACAGGATGCTCATCGCTGCCATCCTGGCAGTCGGGCCGATTATCGCACATTTGACGCTGCGGCACGCACATCGTCCCATTGTCGCAGGCGAAGCTGCCCGACGGGCAGGGTCCTTTAATGAATGAATGAATCAAATAAATGTACCAACAATATTGCTTGTGAACTGCTTTTGTGGAAACCCCCGCCACTGTGTTCAAAAAAACAAAACAAAAAACAATTGACAAAGTTTTTGATTGTTTTCTGTTTGCCATTCGTGGCCTTAGTTAACAGCAATATTGTCTAGTTTCAAATTACACATAACAATAAAAATAAATGAAAACACTGAACAACTTTTTCGCTGCTAATTGTCATAAAAATCGGAACGCATTGGCGCTTCTTTTTTATGTTTTGTTGCCAGTTCTGGTTCGAATTTTAATTGCTCCAATGCAAGGTTGGCGTCAACCAACCAATTCGCACTTATTGTTAGTGGAATTGCCAAAGCACTCTTCTCAATTCGTCGCCAGTAAATTAGCATGATGAGCTCTTTTTTTATGCGCACAATTTATATGTCAAAGAAAATGAAAGTGTTCGGGCCAGCATACATCTCTTGAGCGCATTGCGTCATAACTCAAGGTTTTAGTTCTTTTCAGATGCGATGAATTTATTTAAATGCGTATGTTTATTATATATGTACATTATTATTATATATATTACACTGACAGAAAAGAGTCGCATCGTCTCGGTGTTTGCACTTTCTGGTATTCAGAAATTTGACAACCAATCCCATTTGTTTCTATTAATTATATTTTATAATTATATTATTTTTGTTAGTTATGTTTCCCCTTTATTTATTTATTTATTTCATTTATTAATTTATATATTTTGTAATTTTCTTTATTTTTTACATACATTTCTTTTTATTTATTTCATTTTCTGTGTTTCATGTGTTATTTATTAAACTTTAAACAATTGATTTTTTTTAATAAAATGAAAATGTATAAATAATTTATTTTAGATGGAAAATAAAAAAAAAAATTTATATATAACCAATTTTTTATATTTTGTTACATTATTTACATTCATTTCGCTATTTAAATTAATTAAAATGGAATTTGGAATTAATGTTAAAAAATATGATGAAAAAGTTTGAATTTTGTAAAAGATGTTTTAAAAATATATACTTGTATACATTCAAAAATTCATCAATAATTATATAAATAATTAAATAAATAAGTTTGAACAAAAATGTAAATTTCAATTCAAATTTTAATCACTTGTGTGAGATTTGTGGAGGACTAATAATAATGGAATATTATCTCTTTCAATAAATAAAATCAAAATAAGATTCGCAAAATATTATAACATAAATATGTATTCTTAAGTAAAAATACATACATTCAAGTCGTTAACATTTGATTGTAAACTGATTTAAGTTGACCGGCAAATGGAAGGGTAGGATTATTTCTATTTTAAAAATAAAATTCAAAGTTTCAAATGACAACACTTGAAAACAACTTTCCATTTACAAATCGTAAAAATGCAAAGTAATTCCTTCCACATTTCATAGTACGAAGCGATATCGTAAAAAGCAAACTTGGGCTCACAAATCAATTGGCAAACTCGTATTCATTTACATATTTCCAGCACTGCCTGTTTATTTTGGTATTTGACATTTATCTCGCTATTATTTGACATTTGTCTCGCTTCCTACATTAATTCCCTTATTGATTTGCAATATATTTGGTGCCGAGCATAAAACTTTTTCCCATTCTCGCTCGAAAATGTCATCCTTCGCTTTTTTAAGGCATTTAAATGTTAGCATGACACATAAATCAATCTCTCTCTCTCTCTCTCTCTCTCTCTCTCTCTCTCTCTCTCTTTTACTTTAATCACACAATTTCAATAAAAATTAATAACTATGCCATAAATCAGAATCATTATCAGGGTTTTTAAACTAATTATTTGATAATATTTTTTCACATTCATTTAAAATTTTATTTAAGCTAAAAATAATATCAGTCTCAATGACATAAATCAGAATCTTTATCAGGCTTTTTAATCCAATTATTTGATAATATTTTTTCACAGTCATTTAACATTTTATTTAAACTAAAAATAATGTAAAAAAATATTTAAAAAAAACCCGGTTATTTTTGTTGATTTTTATGTTCCATCTAAGCCTACCTTTTAGTAGAAGGTGTGCAAAAGTTTTTAATTTCCGAAGGAGAGCAAAAAGATTGAGGTTTGATAATATTTCTTCATTTTCATTTAAAATTTTATTTAAATTAAAATATGAAAAACCGGTTTGTGTTTTAATGTTGTTTTTAATGTTCCCTCTAAGCATACCTTTTAGTAGAAGGTGTACAATAGTTTTTAATGTACGAAAGAGAGCAAAAAGATTGCGGTCTGATAATCATTTTTCACATTCATTTAAAATTTTATTAAAACTAAAAATAATGTAATAAAATATGAAAAACCTGGTATTTAATTTGTATATGTTGTATATAGTTTTTAATTTACAAAAGAGAGAGGATCATCAAAAAGATTGCGGTCTAACCATAATTGGCAAGGCTGGAAGCGGCAGAGCACTCCGGTACGCTATCCCACTACTGCATACCACGGGAACTCTTGGCTGCTGGTTTTCACCCCTGGCCCGGTTCATCCCTCCTTAGCCAACCTGAATGACATGGACTCCTCCACGGCACCCATATTGATGGCAAGCTTAGTGCGGACGTTCCGTCAACATGATCTGGTCCGCTACACAGATAACCCCGGCCTCAGACCATCCCACAATCAGACCTCACAGAAGCGCGATTACAGAAGATGCCAACCTTCCAGTCGATATATCGCCAGCAATACGTCACTCATTTGCCACTCCACTACAGACACTTAACACCCATTTATCGACGCACTGCACTATCGATTTTATGATCCATTATTCCCGCGCTGGCGCTCTAAAGTATGCAAAATATTTTGCTAATCGACCGATATTTTTGGCTCCCATTATATTTGAAGTTTTCGGTCGAATTTTTCTATTTATATATAAATATTTATTTATTTATTTCATTGACAAGCAATGCAGTCGATGTAAAAGAAAAAAATATATACATAAAAAACATCAATACAATAGAGAACTTAAACTAAATAAAACTAAAGAAATAAAAAAGCCTATATAAATGTATTTTATTTTATTATTTCTAATCGGTAGAATATCTTACAATATTTACAAAAAAATGCTAAGGTCTAAAAATAAATTTAAAAATACTGACGAAATACTAGTTAGAAATGATTTAACACTTGTATTCGTATATCCTTAACTTGAAAGCCTTTCAAATAATTGGGTATTAACTTAATCCGTTTTGTTTACAATTTCTACAATTGGCAAAGAGTATTGAAATTCTGAATAATATGTTGTTACATTTTGCGCATTTTTCTAACGCTCTGCATAATTTGAAATTCGGCGATTTACATAAACAATTCAATTCGAAACATTGTTGCAACCAAACTGCAGAAACTAGAGATATTCTTAAACGCTGATTTAATGCGAATTGTATTCGAATAAATGTACAATCAAGAAATTTAAAAGTCTCAAATGAATAGATTGCTGGCAAGTCGTTGAATTGAAATGAAAACTTGCATATTAAATTGAAAATGTTAAATGAAAGCTAGCTAAGGTGCTTTGCTTATTCATAAATATAATTAAATATGATTAGGTTGCTAACTTTTGTCACATTTCCCCAGCACTGGCTGTGTCTTAAGTAGGCTTTGTCTTAACTGGCAAATCATAAAAGTTAATTAGCTGCGCGAGAAACTCTCATTGTTTTGCTAATCACTTCTGCTTTACGCACAATAAATTGTTCTTCATTTTGATTAAACTTGACGCTAGTTCTAGCTTGAGCGGTTTATTAGCTACTGAAAAAAAAAAAGAATACAGAACTCTTTTTTTGTGATATTTTCTGTTATTTTAGTTGCAGCTTCTCTGTCAGCAATTGAGCTTTCCATTCACCACAGGATATTGCGCCATTTTCTTAGAAACTATTGGACAGAGAGCTCTTAGTAACTTCCTGCTTTCATGCTTTTAAATTGTTATCTTTTACGAATGATAGAAGAGTTGACAGGTAAGGGAAATTTTGTTTTGACACGAGACGACGATGCTATTGAGCTCTGGCTCACAAAATTTCCTTTAAGAGTTTTAAATATGTTTGCCCTTCATACACGTGTTTCCTTCTTGTTTTTATGATTAATTGCATTTTCTTCATTACCCTTTAAAACTTAAAGTTTAAATCAAACAAATAACAAAATATATGTATGTTTCTCCAGATTATGGCTCTTTATGAACTGGAATATTTAAACAATTCGGTGGCAATTGAGCTGGCATCTTCAAAGAGCGAAGTAAAATGCAAAAAAAATCGCACATTCTGTCGCAACACTATATGTTCAAAAGGAACAAAAAAGGACAATTATGCTGCTTACTCACCCAAACTCAAGTAGAATATGAGACCTGCGAGGAGCATTACAATGGTCAGCATCGCGACGCCGACAGCTATGCTGCGACCATAAACCATTTTGGTCAACGGTGGGTTGTTGAACTAATGCTGATTGATCGGCGATGTCGGGGTATTAATCTCAGTCACAGGAAAGTGCGCTTCCGCATCGCTTAGCATTGTTTGGCGAATGCAACAACAATGGCATTAAGTTGGTCGACTTCATTATCATTACCAATATAATCAGCGTCGTCATCATCATTATCATAGTCTGGTGGGCATTAAGATTAAACACATCCGATGACGTATTGGGATTATCAAATTTCAACTACAAGTAGAACAAAGTCGCGAATTTTCTCACTTCATTAAGTCTATCACTCGCTGAATCGCCACAGCAGCAAAATTCAATTTGAAATTTTCTTGATATTTTCCACATGGACACGTTTATTTAGATTCTTTCCCCAGCACATTATTTTTTTCGTTGACACTTTCGTTTTGTTGCTTGCACATTTGGCTCACGATTTGCATAATTTCAGTTGCGCTGAAGTACAGAAATTGATTTTCCTTCTTCTTGTGTCCTTAAATATGTTGCATCATTGTCTAGTGGCGGTTAATTCTTGGAATTAAAAACTACTAAGAAACCATTTTGCTATTTTTAATTGCTTGTTAATTTACCTGTGAATATTCTTCTATACTATTAAATCGCAGATCCAACAAAATTATAACAACAGTATCTCATTCAGCTCAGGAAATCGTTGGTAATAAAATCAGGAGGAAAAATATTTATTTAGATTCTTCTTTCCATAGAAAAACAGTGAAAATTATTTATAAAATATGCAAAATAAATTTGATATAAATAAAACCAAATATAAATGGACACAAAGTAAACTAAAAGCTATAATGATCTCATGATTCCAATATATATTTGTAAATGAATTTTACAATTTTCAGCTCTTCTAATTTTTCAGTTAATTCTTTTATAAAGCTTATTTACATAAAATATGAAAATATATATATTTGATAAATTATTTATTTTAAATAAAACAAATGGGTTATGCACAAATTTTAATAAAAACGATACGGAGAAATACAATATTTTCATTTCATAGCACCCGAACAAATGAATAAATATAAACTGAATTATAATTAATAAAAAATATTCTTTAAAATGTACTGAAAATCATCTAAAAATTGGCAATTCTTCAAATTTTTGAGGTATAAAAATTGAAAATTTCAACAAAACAAATTTAAAATCATCTAAAATTTAGAAACATTGTTTTAAAAGTGAACTAAACTGCATGTTTATTCTTAGATCTGTACAATTCTTTTCCTGTTCATAAATAAATTTGTTTGACAGTGAACATTCTAAACAATAATTAATTAGAAGGAAAAAATAAGAGAGTATTGAGAGAGCTGACCAAAAAACCTAAATGTTAGAGAAACACATTTTGAGGCATTAAGTGTAGAAATAACATCTAAAATAATTGAGAAATAGAGCCGCTATTTATAGCAAAGATTTGAAGCATAAAAAAACTATGTAAAGAATAAAATATGATTAACAAAATTTAAACAAGAAATGTGTAACGAATGTAACATAATTAAACGCTTAAATAACCCTTTAATTAAAATATACAACAAAATGGGCAGGAAAATTGTAGATTTTGGTGGAAAAGAGAGCATAACTTTATAATTACTCTCGAACTGCCCTCGTATTTGATAAACTGCAAAATAAAAATGCAATATGTGACTAGCATTTTTCAACAGGCACTTGGTGTTAATTTTCCTGCCAACACGCGTATTCCTCTTTCACTTCGCCGCCTGCTATTCTATTCCACTTTTACTTCTTTTTTTTTTGGTTTTGGTTTATGTGGTCGCAATTTGTTGGCGTCTTTTACGATATTTTGTTGATTAAATTTCGCTTAATTAGCGCTTGCGGGCAAGTAGCGCATAATTTAAGAAAACGATGCTGTTGTTTTTGTTGTCCTTGGCCAAATACGAAGACGTGCTAGCCATATTATCGATGAGCAGCAACAAGAACCGACCAAGAGAAAGGTCGGTCAAGCAATTTCCTGAGAAATCATAATTTCCGCAAAAGGTCGCCCACACATTGTCTTGCATCCCATATCCACACACATATCCCATGCTAAACGCAAACGAGGCTCATTATCACAATTGAACAGCATTTGGTGTCGTAAAAAAGAAGAGCGAAGAAAGACGCGTCACGCACTTGTTCCTTTTGTAGCCGGCCGGTCGGTTGGCCGGCCACTTCACTGCCACTTTTTGTTGCTGTTCTTACTGCTGTTGATTATTCTTGTTGACCAAGCAAGCACTAAGCAGTAAGCAGCAGCAAAAAGCACATTTACAGATTGTGTCAAAGCGATAGTGAGCCAAAGGTTCAGGCCACAAACCATTCAGCTGTGCAAAATGCTTGCAACGCGCACCAAAGTATGCTATGCCCGGCGACGCGTTTAAAAACGCGCCCAAAACGCGCGCACGCCAAACGCTCTCTCTGTGCGAACAGACAGACACAAAACTTCTTAACGCTTTCACGAACAGCGAACAACTGAAACAAACGACAGCAATTGTTGCTGATTTTGTTTGTTAAGAGTGTGCCAGTGTGTGTGTGTGTGTGCTCGTTCATGTTTGTAACCGTTATTTGGCAGCAATTGCTGTCACAGCTTCCATTGAGGAAGGAGCTCGCTTCGTCGTCTTTGCCGAATGCGGCTCGTGTGCGGTTTCGGGAAAATACCGTAACAAAAATAACGCACAGCTTTGAGTTTAAAATGAAAAAAAAAATAATAATAAAAATGCCATTTATTTGCTAATACAATACAATAATTTCAATTTGTTCTAAAAAAGTTATAATTAGGTGGTGGTGGTGGTGGCTGCGAATTAATTATGGAATTAAATAGTTAATAATAATAAACATACTCGTATGTATATTGCTGTTGGTGGTTTGCGTTTTACAGTTATTGCTGTTGTTGTTGTTGTGTACAAAATATTGCTAAAGTTTATAACACAAGCGACTTGTTTTGTTCTTAACTTTTTGTTGTTTGTTTGCACTTTGCAATAAAAGCTACAAAATATGCATAATAATTGTAAATATTCATTATTTATAAGAGTAGTTGTATATATTTGTTGTTAAGTGTTTCGTTAAGTACTTTAAAAGTTAAACTTTTGTAACAAAGCATTGCTAATTTGTTTACTAAAGCTGCGCTAATGCAATAATTCAAATCGCTATATGCTAGCTATCAGTATTAGGCTAAAAAAGTTTACTTCATCTATAACATTTCGTTTCATCAATTATAATAATTAATTCAATCAATCATTTGTTTATTGCTCTGCGTACGAAGAAATCACTACAACACTACTTAAATGTTAAAAAGGCGTCCCATACTATTCGTTAGTTAATAATTATTGCAACGATGTACAAAAGTTCGTTCAGATTTCATTTCTTTTCTTTTTGTTTAACAAAAGTTGTTAAAAGCTAATGGCGCGAATGTGTAGATAAAAACATATTAAATACTATTGTATATAAAAAAATTTAAAACATATTAAAGACTAGCAACAAACATTATTATAAAAATGGAATTGTGTTTCTCAGCAGTCATAATTATTTATAGCGAATCCTTTTTTTCTATAAACAAGGTAAATTGTTACCAATTATTCATAAGCTATGGCCAGACATGCACAAAATTTGTAATTAGTAGAGATTTCTGAATCGATTTGGTGAACATAGCCTTTACACTTGCCAAGCTCGACTAATCCGTCTGATCACACCTTTATTTTTAGGACTGACAGGCATCTGTTAAAAGTTTAAATTATGCCATGAATTTCATGTTACTTCATTTAAAATCGATGAGTTCTGAACTTAAATATAATTTTCTGTTACTTCAAACATATTTTCGATTTATTTGTAAAATACCTTAAATTTGTTTGCCTGTCTGACCATATCTCTTACAATGTAGTATGTCTTTTGGAGCTGTTTATATTTTGCTTAAACGAAGTAGACTTTTTGCGAAATTTCATTACAATTTCCAGTTTTTATTTCCTAAACACTGCGCTTAAGTTCTACAAACACCAGAAATTGGGAAACTATATCAAATTATTTGCATTCGACTGTCCGCAAACTTAGAATGTAATGTGCTTTTTATGTAAAATTGCGTTATTTTTAAAGCGATTTTGCAAAAGTTTAACTAACACTGCGGCTAATAAGATACGTAAGTAATAATAAGAATTTGACTTCCATATGTAATTAATATATGTTTGGGAAACTACCAAAAGGTTGTATTATAGGGTAAACAATTTTGTGCATCAATTCTATGCTTTGTGTAAATTTGTAACAATAAAAATTGCTCTAGAGATCCATTAGATTACATTTTGGAAGAGAAACAAAAGAACTCAATATGCCTGTATTTTGTTTGTAACAATCCTTCAAAATGTTGAATGTAAATTTGTGATAATTTGTGAGGTTTATATATATAGAATGATATCAATTGGTATATATATATAATTTATATAGGCAGGTTTGAATTATTAAATATGTACTGCTTTTGCTTTGAAGATATGTGTTAAGTAGTCGCTTTCCTCGCTTTTGTTCCCAAATGTTGAAAGGTTTCGTAGAATTTATAGTTTTTTTCGTTTGGTGCTTTTCTGAATTTAAATATACATACATATGTATGATGTTATTTCGTTGTGAGTGTGTGTGTGTGTGTGTGCTAAATAGTTGTAGTATTTAAAGCATTGATTTATTTTATTCGTTTATTTAAACCCAAACACCATGCGGATTCTTGCTGGTGGGCACTGCCGTTTCCAATTGGCGTGGAGAACCAATTATGCGACGACTGCTGCCCTGTTTGTTCGGTCCTGCAATGTAAATGCAATAAATATTTAAGTTATTGTTTTATAGTTTATAGAATGTGGAAATCGTCATACCCTCTAGCAAATGTTTTATCTCCTCTGTAGTTGTCACCGTCAGGCTCTGCAAATTGACTTCCTTCATTTCATTCACCAGCTGCTCCACCTGCCAACCAAGTCGATCAATAATTTAGTTTTTAGGGAATATATTTAAATAATTTAAATTACAACCTGTCGCTTTTTCTCCGCTATTGCGTGCTCTATCATTAGCAATTCCTTTTTTAGATTATCCGCCGTCTTATTCGATGTATCCGTGCTGTGCAGCGCCTGATCGATCTCGCTCTGTATACGCTCCATTTCCATGAGAAAATCACGCTCCACCGTTTGTCTGCAAGGACATAAATGGGTTTAATAAAATTATTAATCATTTATTATCTTATTGTTAATTAAAGATTTCTACTTTGTTCTTGTTAATTGAAACACAAAAACAAACTGACTTTCAATAATTAAATACTAAATCTGTGTTAAATTAAAATGAAGAGTTTGTGCACAAATTATTTGTCTGACTGACCGGGCAAGGTCAGACCTGCGAATAGTTTGCTCAAAAAATTGTCAAGTTTTCAAAAGTATATCGTTGTTATAATTGTGTAATAATTATAACAAAAGAGAATTCTATACTAATATATAAAGCGTACTCCTATAAAATAACTTTTTTAGAACTCTCTTTCCAAAGTTTGTTCAATTGCTTGCCGACCATATCTTTGACTCACCTATTGCTTTGTTGTTGTTGCGTTAGCGCTCGTTGTTCGAGTTCAATGTCATCCATAAGTAAGCGTATCTTGTTCTTGCATTGCAACAACTCTGTCTCACAATTTGCCAATTTGGAGCGAAGTAGGGCTATTTCGGATTTCAGCGTTTTCTCCTGCTGCTTCACCAGCTCGTTCTCCTCCTCGACGTACTGCAATGTTTGCAAATGTTCGCTGCCCTGCCGAAAGATTTGATCCGCTTTAGATATGTCACGTGAGATGGCTTCCAATTCCTGGGCATGATCACGTTCCTTGGCCTCCAGATAAACAATTTCCGAATCAAACTGAAGGGAGAGATGGAAAGTGGTGTAACAATTTAGTTGAAATTCAATTACTCAATTGGTTCGTGACTTGTGAGCTATTTGAGGATTGTATTAGAGCTGTGCGGGTAAGCAATAATGACGTTACACGATTCACATTCATGAGGACTGTTCATTTGTTGCCACTTGTTTTATTTATTTTTTATTCTTTTAGTATTTTTTCTATATATTTTACTTTATTTTTAAGATTACACATACTTTTTTGATAAATAATTACTTGCTTTTCATAACTATGATTCAAACTTTTTGTCACTACAATATGAAGACACAAGTTCCGTAATTTTTCACCGAATTACTGGTGCGTTTGTACACTTGAGAGATCGGAGTTTTTGTAGAGTCGTATTAAGACCTTTAAGCTTAACCCATTCTAGCTTTCACAATCACGCACGCACTCACGCACAGCTCTACTGCTTACTCACCTTATGCAATTCCATTTGTTGTGCCGTTATTTTCTCGCGTTGGAATTTAATTAACTGCAACAGATCTTTGTATTGTGTGGCCTGAAAAATGCTCTCACTTTCGTCCATGGACTGAGTGTTGTTGTTGTTGTTGTTATGGTTGTTGTTGTCATAGTCATTGTTGCTATTGTAATCGCTGAGAAATGGATTTGTGGCCGAAGACGCATTCGATATGGTTTCGGCATTCTGCAAACGTTGCATGGGACTATTTCTGGGCGGGGGCGGATCACGATATGGTGGTGGGACCAAGGCACCATTTGCGGAAATTGTCGGCGTCTGTTTATACAGATCGGGTGAGGCATTATAGGGTGTGTTGTTGCTGTTGTTAATTGGACTATTGTTGTTATTGCTGTTGTGATTGATATGTGCATAAATATCGCGTAGATTTTCACTGCTATTGTTATTATTCAGATTGTTGTTGTTATTATTATTATTAGTATTGTTATAGAACGCCTCATTGGGACTGGCGCGTCGCATTTCGGACAAATGCAGCTCATTGCTGGATTTGCTCAGTTGACTGTAGGTATGCTGATTATTGTTGCTATTATTATTGCTATGATTATTGTTATTATAGACATCGCTGAAGGCATTGCCGGCGGGCGTACAGCTGGACATGTCCAAAGGGTTCGAGTGCGATTTCTCATGTTTTGGCTGTAATGTGGGCACATTGTTGTTGTTGTGCGCCTTCTGCTTGTTGGGCGGTTGTTGCTGTTGATTTTGTTGTTGTTGTGGTATGCCTTTGACGATGCCAATATTGTCAAATTGCTTAGCATCGTAGCCGCTGAAAATAATAAAGTTGTTTATCAATATTAAATTTTCTTTTTTTTCATTGTCAGCTTTATAATATACTGAACCGATTTGGGTGAAAGTTCAAATTATAGTGGGACATTATAAAAACATCATAAATATACAATTTGGTTGCAATAAAATACCAAGAATGATTTTTGCAAACCTAGATCCTATGCCTGCTATATGATATATGATATGATATATATAGTTAGCGCACCGATTTTAATGATGTTTTAGATTAAAGTAAGGCAATAAAATAAACTTAAAATGTAAAATTTAGGCAACAAAAAAGTTATTCTACTAAGATTGCTTCTTCAAGCCATCGTTATTATGACAGCTTTACAAAATAAAGAGGTTATATATGTTTTGCAATAAACTTCATTTGCAAGCCTAAGAGATTAGTCTAAATACTAAGTTTGGTGTGTCTAGCTCCTATCTTTCAAAAGTTATCGCTGTTCATACAGTCGAACAATAGGCAAACAGACATTGCTATAGACATGTATACCATATAAAAATGCAATTAAAACGTACCTAAAACTTTTTTTTAGCTCCTTTGTGCGATAGCTGAGCTCCACATTGGATTTTTGTTTCTGCAATGTGGGCGCGGGCTTATTCACATTGTTGTTGTTGTTGTTATTGTTATTTACGCCCAGCGGCTTTTTTGGCATGACAACAGCATATGTTGGAGAATTGTTATTGCTGTTGTTATTGTTATTCTGTGGTTGCTGCGTCTGTGGCTGCTGTTGGTGTTGTTGCTGCTGCTGCGGTTGTTGTTGCTGCTGTTTGTTCTCTGAACGTTGCAATATAAATTGCACGTCATTAGCATATTCACCCCATTTTAGCAGCAACTTCATGGGATTCTCATTTGGCGCCAGATGCCGCTCATTATTCCGCCAGCGTTCGATTAAAGCGAACCGCCCCACCTTGCCTGTGGCATGTGCCAAAGCGAATACCACATCCTGCCGCAAGACAAACAAAGTATGTAATTAGTAATTGGGTAGAACAACTACAAGAATAAGAAGAGAAGAACTAAAACTAAAAAATCAATAGCACGCACCTGACAAGTCGTACTGACTGTGACGCCACAAACAATCCGCTGTATGCCCTCAACCCAAACTTTCAATTCCATTTTTCACAATCGTCGTCGTCGTCGTCGTCGCTGTCGGCCGCTTACTGTTCCAATCAACAATTATTTTGAATTGCTTTCTTGCGCCGCCAAATTACACCAACTGACTAAATCGCTGAATAGCGAGTTGGTTGGCTGCTTGGCTGATGGAGCTGTCTGTGCTAATGATTCCCGAGCGTTGTTGAAGCTTGACTCTGCCGTCTGTTGTCCGCTGTCTGCCGTCTGGTGTCGTTGTTTAGCTTGTCGCGTGCGCAACGAAGCGTGCCTGTTGACAACGTGTGTGTTGTGTTGCAGTTGCTGCTGCTGTTGTTGTTGTTGTCGATGTCGAAGCTTTGCCTGCCAACATGCCCAGCAACCAACTTTGGGTATGGTTATGGAAATGGGGGTGCTGCGCTTCCCTTTCTTTTGCTTTGTTGCCACTTTTCCCTATTAATGTAGCCACTACTGTTTTTTGTTCACTTGCACTTACAACTGGTTTCTAAGCGGGCGGGGCGCGCGGGACTGCAGGTGTGTGCTGCTGTTTGCGCGTGTGTGTGTGTGTGTGCTGGAAAAATTCTGATTCACCTTCATCTATTTGGGTTACGCGCTAATCTCATACATTTGCTTTATTCTGCACCCATTGTTGATATTAAACACACACACGCACTGCCATCGCCACTTGCAAATGCACAAAATGTTTTTTATTTGTTATTATTTAAGGTTTTTTTTGAAGGGCTCCCAAAAATGCAGCAACAAAATCACAGCACATACACACACACTATCGCGCCACCACGACCACTGATGCACACTCTTTTGGTGCTTGCAGCATTGCTGCATTTAAAAAACCATATTTATTTAATGCAATTTTTTGATGCATTTAATCTTTTTATATGCCTTTATACGTTCTATGTGCTTTTTTCACTATTTGTTTATGTTTCGTTGCCCATCGAAAGTTAATCGAAATTTTTTTTGGTACATTGCGCGAGCTGGCAGCACTATTTTCTACAGAGTGCTGCCACTTGGATTGCAGGCTGCGCCATCGCATGACGCGCTCCAGCTGCGTTCAAACTGTTTATGTGTGTATTGTTAGTTTAAAACCAATTCTTTAAAATCTTAATACATGTGCGACATTTTGTATCATGGCACTTGTTCTAACTCCTGATAATCCTGTTTTATATGTAATGGGGTATTTGGTTTTACAAGGCTTCTAGAATTGAAGGTATTACATATACCTTTCAAGTAAATTGCATAAATTTGCCTACTGTACGCAGTTTTATTCAAAAGATTCTGATAAATAATTAATTTACTTACAACTAATTAAACTATATAATCTACTTTTTACCTAATTCAATTGAAAAATTAATAGCTTTGTTGTTTATTTGCTTTTTTTTTTGTTTTGTGCGTCAAGAAAAACATTATACAACAAAACAGATAAATATAGCTTAGAAATATGAATACCATCTATGAATTCTTATATTTATGTAATTTTTAATACTAAATGTTTTACTATATAATATTATCATTGTATTAATGTGTTTATTATATAAAATTAACTATTTTGTTTTTTATGGTTATCTATTTCTTTTTTTAAGTTTGTTAATTTTCTTGTTTGTATTAATATAGTTTATTGTCTTTTAATGGATTTAAATTAATAGTTTTCTATAAAATGTTTATAAGCAAATGTTCATAAAGAATATTAGTTCTTGTCGTGACGTAAATTGCATAAAACTGCTCATCTCCAGGAAGCTCTAGTGACAAGCGCTGCCACCTTTCGCACAACTGCCTGGCAACGCTTAGTAGAACAGGGTCGTTTGCCATCAGCAGGTCCCGCAGTCAGTCTGCAGATAATTATTACAAGTGTAGCACGCATTAGCACAACAGCACAGACAGAAAACACAACAACCACAACACAATACACTTTTTAAAGCCAACTCGAATTGCCAAACTATAATACGGCGACAGCAATTAGAATACAAAACCGAGCATTCCACAACAATGCGAGGTCGCAAATAGGGCTTAGTCTAGAGGCCAACACTGCAACGTCTTCTTCAGCTGGCAAAGTGCGTTAAAAATTTATTGATTTGCAGTGCATTTTGCAATTAAATATTAATCGACCTACAACTAGTGTTGTTGAACAAATACAAGCAGGACTTTTCCTAATTTTACTTTGTTAATATTTGGATGTGTGCAACAATAGCAACCACAACTTGCCAAAATTAAAATGGCCAACAAAGCTGCTGGCGCTGCTGCAAAGTTTAACAAACTTAAATAAATATTAACAAAAGCAGAAAAAACTCGTGCAAAACTTAGCAACAACAACAAAAGTAATCTCCAAAATTATACGGAGCTGTGTGTTTGTGTGTGTGAGTGGCGTTTTCGGGGCGCGGCGCCAGCTGCCAAGGTGCGTAATGCGCGTGTGAGTGTGTGTAAGAGTGAGTGTGTGTGTGTGTGTATAAACAAAACAAAGTAACAGGCAAGCAGTAACAACAACAACAAGTACTACATACAAAAAGCACTCACTGTAAATTGTAACAACAACAACAACAGCACTAGCACAATGGCCAGTCGCAGTCGCGCCATATTAAATGTTAATCTCGATACGGTCATGGCCAACGATCCATTGCGTGAGCTCTTTGAGGCCTGCAAGACGGGCGACATTGCCAAAGTAAAGAAGCTGATAACGCCACAGACTGTGAATGCGAGGGACACAGCGGGACGCAAATCCACGCCATTGCATTTTGCAGCGGGTGAGTAAAAGACAATAATAATAAATTCTACATATGTATGTGCATACATATGCTAATAGAAAACCTACATACATATGTATCTTTAACGTGTAAATAAATTAAATTAGAAAAACTTAGTTAGATTTCCCCTTTTCCTCTGCTGTCAATGCAATCAATCTATTATTCCAATTCATTCAAGGTCTGTCTTAGAGAAAACGAGGGCAGCTAAGGGTGTGAAAATCACAGTGCTGTCATGAGCATTGATTGATCCAATTATTCAGCATGATACTACCTTTCCTAAACTAGTTTGGGGCACATGTTCCATTCTGATTGAATGGCTTGTAATTTGCTGAACCTTGATGCAGGACTTACTGCATATTGTATTTGATATCCAAGATCAATTCCGCATCCTATGACATATGTATAATCTCTTAAAATAGTTTGCTTGGATATTGTTCAAAAAACCTATTGTTAGAGGGTATATCTAAATAATACAAATACGATTTCCAATTTCGTTTTAAAAAACTCTTTCCATATCATGCCATTTCAATTAATGTTTCATGATAAAGTGATTTCAATTCACTGATTTGACATAGTTTGTTTTCATATATGTATTAGTACTTGTAGTATTATATTAGTCATTCATCACTCAATTGGAGATATTTAATTCCATTTCCGTTTTTGCCTGATTTTTCATCTATATTCTTAATAATCAGGAATTTTGGTTGGCCACTATTTTTCAATCGGTATACCACATGGCCACGAATTAAATAAGTATCACCACAAATTTCTTCCATTTTTAAAAGTCCTGTTTACTTTGGGATGCGTCTTCTATATAATGTATTATTTTCAATACTTAGGTAAAGGTTATTATATCGTGGAAAAACGTAAACTTACAAGTAGTGCCAAGTATTTCAGCTAATTATAAAGAATTAAAGGGAGTTTTGAATTGAGAAAAACGAATCCGCTACTGCTACTGTTTCGCTTATAACTTTGTTTAGAAGTCGATTAAATTTCCCATGCCTAATCTAGGTTAAGTAGTTGGGGAATTGCGTCAAAAGAGTGGTAAAGCAATATTAGCAATAAAATAAATTTGCTTTGTCTAACATTTATTAGAGTCTACATACCAAGTTTCGTCAGTATGGGTGCAGCTGTTAGTGGAATTAAGGCGTTCATACAGACAGACGGCCAGTTTGTCTGGAAATGTTGTGCAAAAATATGTTTTTGTGCGCAAGCTAACATACCCCTTTCGGCCCCCATGTATAGAGTATGAAAAGTCCCCCTCTCCTTCTCTCTCTGTGTTGGTGTGTGCTGTCGCCTGTGCTTGGCAAAGGTTGAAGGACTCAGACTCGGATTCGGATTTGTATTCGGTGTTTCGTTGCCGAACGCACGCGCGCCCCATTCATATGCATACTGGCCTTGAGCTAGTTGCGCTGGACAGCCTGCCGCGCTGCTGATTGACGGTGCAGCTTGGTTGGTGGGGGAGGGGATTAGGCGGGGTGGGGTTATGACTGCGACTGTTGAGCGTCATTGTTGGACTCCGACAGTATAGTTCGCTAGTCGGCTCGTCGTTCGTTTTCATTCGCGTACCGAGGGTTGACCTACTTTTCTGCCTCGCTTGTTTCCGGAACGAAATTTTCATACGTAGCGCTGCTCTCTGGTTCTCCTGGCCTCGAAGTTTCTATTTTGAATTATTCCATAGACAATGCACAACACGGTGGGGGACGAACGAACTTGGCTGCTGTATGTATTTGGCTTTGGCAAAAGCCTTTTTCTGCATCCTGCTGCTGCTGACGTCTTTGTCCAATGCGTCGCCGTCGTCGCAGTCGCAGTCGCAGTCGCAGCCGTTTGACGTTTGTCGCCAACTAACGCATTCACCCAATACATATATACATACATACATATACATATGTATGCAGCATTAGCTTTTTTTACATGACTTTGGCCCAGTTTTTTTTTTATTATTATTTCAATTCAACTGTTAGCCTTTGCGCCGCAGTTGTTGCTTCCACGCTTAAATGTCAATTTTCTTTAAAACTAGAGTTGCGCATTTTCACTTTTTCCGCACGCACCGCAAAGTTCGTTCATTTTCTTTTGTAACATACAACAACAACAGCAGCAACAAAATTATAATAATTGTTGCTCGTCTGGTCCGTTGCGTCTCTTTGTTATATTTTTACATACGCTTATTAATGATAAGAGTATTGTGGTTCAAGTCGGCTTTTTGTAACTAACTCTGACGTTCTAAGGCATGAAATGCATAAAATCAAGTCTCGCCTTTATTTGAAAGGCCTGGGAATAGATAAGATATCAGTTTATTAATGCTTAATACTAATAAATGTGTAACAACTATGAACAACAGCTCGCTTTACAACAAAATAATCTAAACCATCGACTCGATGGTAGAATTTAGAATTTACAACTACGTGCCATGTTATTTGAGGACTCTTTAACGACTCCTCGATACACGCTACAAATACCAAATGCTTCAAAGCACCAACATCAGCCTTAACGTATTGGCCGGTTTAAAAAATTCCCTTTAATCCTAAAAACAAATCAGCTTTGTTTTGATTTTTTGAACCTGATTGATTTTTTGGACCTCCTCTTTTTTGGTTTTGGCTTAACTGGGTGGTTTCAGAATCATATTGGAAACACCACGTTTAATCACAACTCACAATGATGTGAAGAAATTTAGTCCTTTTTTGACTTCTGATCGATGTCTGTCCGATGTGGAATTTATACAATTTTTGGTCATTCTTCTATCGAAAGTAACAAAATAACTCGGCTTTTAACCATCTGATTGCCATGAAATTTCGAAGGGATGTTGGTAATAGATGTAACAAACTAACCTATTCATATGTGGTGCCACCGGAAAGAGATACTTTTAAAAACTTCTCCTTGCTTTCGTATGCACCTTCTTCAACGATTTGTCTTGTCATGCTGATCATGCAGTCTCTGCCAGCTGCATATATTTGACATTTAGGTTTCATGGAATATCCTTTTATCATTTGGGTACTAGGTATATACCAAGTACATATAGTTTTATATTCTTCAAATATCATATTGGAATGTATTTGGCGGCCATACCGAATAAATAACCATTTTTTTTTTTTTAAATTAGACTATTTCAAATCGCTTTAGAAAGAGTGTCTACAATTTCTCATTGAAGTCTTTATATATAGATATTTTTTCATTATAGTTTCAACTTCACGCCCCCTTGGGCAGCTCGTTGTCTTATCTGCTGCGCTTTGTCTTAATTAAAAGCGAAGCCAAGTCAGTAATCATAAATAAAGTGAAATAAAAAGTAACAGTAGACTTGCCTTTTGTTGTGTTGTTTTATGTGATTTTGGCCAAAAACTCTTCTTGCATATCAATTGGTTGTTGCTGTTGTCGCTGTCGATGATTCATCATCATGCGCCATTGTCAGTCAAAGTCACTGGAACTGGTTTCTCCATTTACTCGCCGCTTTTGTCACGTTCTGACTCCAAAAAAAAAAAAAAGAAAAAATATGAAGTGAGATCTTCAAATCGCTCTAGCTTGTTATAGTTTCTTCTTCTTCTTCGTCTCTTTTTGTGACAACGTCAAAGTTTTCACCTTATTGTGAACTCTGTAATGTATTTTAAGGCCCACAATATGGGAGGAGATCGTTCGTTCGTTCGTTTGCCGTATTTTTAAAACTGTCACACACTTATGGGCCGTCGCCACCTCATGATAAAATGCACATTTATTTATAGTTATGCACATTTATCAGCAACAACAACAACAACAACGACAGCAGTAACAGCCTCATGACGCCATAAACAGCTAACTGTTCAGAGCCCCAAACCCCCCGGTCCATACCCCTTCCGGTTGAAGGGGCTTTTGGGGCGCTTGCGTGTCTATCGAAGCTTATGATGTTGGAACTCACGTCTCTCAGCTATGCTGATTTATATACATACATATACTACTTAGTATAGTGTATGTAGAGCGCCACAAAAGCGTGCTAATTGTATAAGTTGTTCGTTTTCTGTGGAGTGGAGAACTTCAGCAGGTATTCACACTATGCTCTGCCCCTCCTGCTCCCATCCACTTCCTCCTTTTTCCACATGAACCGCAAATGTTTATTCATATGCACAGCTGTTTCGTTTATTTATTTATAATACATTGGCATTATATAGCTGTGTTCGCTCTTATCACTTATGTATGTATAGGTGTTTATGACAGTTTGTCGCTGATGTATGTGTGTTTGTATTATAGGCCTGCATGCGATTCAAATTTTAGATAATGCAAATAATAAAGAAACTTGAGATTTTAAAATATTTTTGCTTACATAAAACTATTGAAATACAAGTATGTATCTCGTTAGACTTTACAATTCAATCAAGAAAAACAAACCGCCTATATTCTCTAATATTTGTTGAATATGAATCATTTGAAGCCCATTCCAGCAGTGCTCTAATATGTTTAGAAGAAATTTTTAATTATCAGGGCTCGTTTGTTTGTTTTGATAACAAAGTCGATATATATTTTTGACACGTATCGCGTCGAAGGCTACTAAAGTCAATGGCTTGGCAAACAAAAGAGCCACTATTAACACAGATCGACGTAAAACCAATCACATGGAAGTTCTATCATACTTTGTAGTATTATCCATGTTACTGATAAGACTACAAAGTATGACACAACTGTACAAATATATTTCAAATTGTCGCAAATCTTCTTTATAAAGTAATTTAAAAGATCAGCGCTGAGCGTATTACGCAAATAGTCAAGTCATTGCCCGTGTGCTTTATTTTTTCAAATCAAGTCTGTTGTGGAATGTTTGGTTATTTTTTTAACTGCTTTTTACTGTTCAATCTTAAAAGTTCACCATGTTCAGTGAGTGACTAATAATTTTGGAGTGTCTGCTGTTAACCACAATCGATGAGGTTTTTGGCATTTGAAATGAATTGGTTTTTGTTTCAAGTGTCCACTCATTGTTTTTAATAATTATATAGGTATTCGTCCACCGCCCTCGCTCCTAAAACCATTTCTAGGCCGTTTTTCGTCTATAACTTAATCATGTCAATTACAACACTTTAGCGGCAATATATTAACAACATAAAGACCAAGCGATTAAGTAATTAACATGCGTATTTTAGTGTGATCGGTCACTATATATACATATATATAAAAGTGCATATATATTTGCCATCCAAGGTAGTTGGCGGCAACGAATTAGCCAAGCAGTGAGCCGCGAACGAAGTTGCCTCAACCCGGTTGCTCAGCGACTTAATAAAGTTGCTATTCAGCAACAACAAAAGAATACCTTTATATATAGCTACAATTAACAAAAACAACAACTGCGACTAACTGAACAATGCATCGAACTACACTACACAGTGGGGGTATACGGGATTAGTTGCTAGTTTTAAATCAAAATTCAAACTCGTCACTATTTTTGAGCTTAAATTTAAAAGTAACTTTATATATTAATTTGTATTTTATTTAAGTATTTAAATTTATAAAGTATCATTATTACTTAATTTTTACATAAAGTTAATTAAGTAACCATTTAAAAAATTTAAAAAAATATTATTTTATCAATTTTATATTATTTATATTTATATATATGTTATTTATATTATATTTTTTTTATATTTAATATTTCAACTATTTGTATGCCATTAAATTAATTCATTTAAAAAATTTTAATTTATTTTTATCTATTTTTTTGTTAAGAACTACAATTATTTCTATTTTCGGACATTTTTTTTATTTTCAACTTTAAAGTAAATATTGAAAAAATTTATTTTGACAAGCTTGAACTATACTGGCTACAATTTTAAATTTTATTTAATTTTTAATATACACTACATAAGTCTATTAATACTATTATTATTTATTATTTCATATAAATAATTTAAATATGTAAAATTTTGATAATTATATTTGAATGTTGTTTGTGTAATTGTTAATTTTGTAAACTTTTCAAAAGAGCCTTAAACTTTTGCTGATTTTCCATATAATTTCAGCTTTCTTGGCAACAACAAATCTCTAAGTATTAGTGTCAAATTTAATTATGTTTTAAAAATAATTTTTATAAAATTGCATTTTTATTTGAAAAACCATGTAACTGTGCCACAAAGCGCATTAACTTTTTGAATGCCCTCAGCCAGCCCCTACTCCTATTGTTGTGTTCAGTGCTCAGTGATTCTCAGTATTATTTGTTGGCCCATTCAGTCGACTCGACTGCTTTCAATAGGCCACGGCACTTAAGAAGTCGCTGTCTGCTGGTAGTTGGCTCAACAATTAAAATTGTTTTCCATTCTATTAATTTTCACGCATTTGGCGTTCCAACCAACTTTCGTAATTGTTTGGCAAATAATTGCAAAAACTTAAAAAAAAGAGAATGGCAGCAAACAATTTCCTGGCAAATATTTTAGATTGCTGCGATTTCAAATAACGCTTACAAGCCGTTTCGATTGCATTTCTCAATAAACATTAAAAGCATTTGTAATAAGTTTATTGAATTAACAAATATTACGTGTGCGCCTCTTGGAGCGCAACAATTGCATTTGTTTTTTATTTTAGTGCTTAATTTTTTATTAAAGCTTTCCATTTTATCTGTGACCTTACTTAGACAGTTTTTTTTTTCGTCCACTGTTTTGTATGCTGGCTTATTTATTTACCTTCCTATGTATGCTTTTGTGAACGAGACAAGGTCGTGCCATTTGTCTTGCTTTAGATAGGTTTTTTCAAATGTTGGCAAAGCAAACAAGTCAACAGGCTTATTGTCTGAAGTCCGAGCATCGAACGCCAGCACTTTCCCATATGTTATCCATCCAGCCATCCGTCCATCCATCCGTTTGTCCAACTGTTCACCATCCACTTGAGTTGCTGGGCACACAAAGTCGCGCTTCCGCTTTCGAAAAATAGAAGAAAAAACTGAAAAATTATGCATGCAAAGACGATGGCAAAGCAAAGCGCGTAACATAAAGACAAAAATCAATGCAAATGCTGAAGAAGAAGAAAGGGGGAAGGGCGGCGACGACGACAGTAGTAGTTAGTTGTACGCTTTCTAGACTCACCTAACCAGGGCTGGGCACAAGGTTTTTTAAAACCAAAACCCCAAATGCACTCAATTGAAATATTCGTCAAAAAACATAGACGCTTCAATAATTTATAATTAGAGATATAGGGAATAGATTTTGTATTCCCACATATGATTAGATATTTTCTATTTCAATATTTTTTTATTTTCAATATTACTAATTTATTATATTGAATTCTGGAATAAAGTTTATATGACGAGTGAGAATCTAGAATACAGTTGATATTATACTAACATTACTTATAAGTTCTATAGACAAATTCCGCTTGAACAAACTATAGATTAGTTTTGCTGATCATTTGAAACTGTTTTCTTAAGTTAAGTCTTATCTTAAGGCATTTCAATAGTTTATAATTATAGATAAAAATATAAGATTACAAATTGGTTTTCGACTACCAAATTATGATAAGATTCAATTTCAATATTTTCAATTTACTTTAATGAAGTCTAGAATACAATTGATATTACTTTCAACTAATATTCATAACAACTGCTAATGATTGAATCCGTTTAATGTGAACAAATTCATGTGAAATTTCAATAAAACAGATTTGCTGATAATTCGAAAAAGCTTTTCCTTCGAATACAAAATATACTACACAAAATTGTCAAAAAATTATGTGGCTTATATCTCTAGATAAGGAGAATCAAGAACAACTCATTTTGAAAGACAACAAATTTATTAAACGGCTCTTCTCAAATGTGTTTAAGAAATTTCTCAGAAATACAAAAGGAAATATCTTAAAAAAGAAAATAAATTAAACACACGATTTATCCAAATTGTAGGTTTTAAGAAAAGCTTCCCTGTGCTGTTGAAATTCTTCAAATATATATTCTGATGGATAAGGAACCCTATTAAGAACCCTTTTTAAGAAGAGCCTCCTTAATTCTTTGCAAATACTACTTCATATAAGAAGTTTATTAAATAATTATGTACTTCTAGATATTTATAATTTTGTGGTCAATATTAAGTAGCAATTTTCTAAAGAGTTTTGCCTTTTTAACCCCATTTTTCCCCCATTTCAACCCATATTCACATAACTTTGTTTCGCTGTTTCTTCACAGGCTATGGAAGGCGGGAAGTGGTGGAGTTTCTGCTTAACAATGGCGCCTCCATACAGGCCTGCGACGAGGGCGGTCTGCATCCTTTGCACAACTGCTGTAGTTTCGGGCATGCGGAGGTGGTGCGCCTGCTGCTGAAGGCCGGAGCGAGTCCGAACACCACAGACAACTGGAACTACACGCCGTTGCATGAGGCAGCCAGCAAGGGGAAGGTGGATGTCTGCATTGCCTTGCTCCAGCATGGAGCGAATCATACGATCAGGAATTCCGAGCAGAAAACGCCGCTCGATCTGGCCGATGAAAATACACGACCGGTGCTAACGGGCGAGTATCGCAAGGACGAGTTGCTGGAGGCGGCCCGTTCCGGTGCCGAGGACCGGCTGTTGGCGCTACTCACGCCTCTAAATGTGAATTGCCATGCCAGCGATGGGAGGCGATCGACTCCACTCCATTTGGCTGCGGGCTACAATCGGATTGGCATTGTGGAGATACTGCTGGCGAATGGCGCCGATGTGCATGCCAAGGATAAGGGAGGACTCGTGCCGCTGCACAATGCCTGCTCGTATGGCCACTTCGATGTAACCAAACTGCTGATACAGGCCGGCGCCAATGTGAATGCCAACGATCTGTGGGCCTTTACGCCCCTCCATGAGGCTGCCTCGAAGAGCCGCGTCGAGGTCTGCAGTCTGCTGCTTAGTCGTGGCGCTGATCCCACGCTTCTCAACTGCCACAACAAATCGGCCATCGATGCAGCGCCCACGCGTGAGCTGCGTGAGCGTATTGCATGTGAGTAGCGTGATTTATGCGATGAATATAGTAAACGATAAACTGACAACTCCACTTGATTTTTGTAGTCGAATACAAGGGCCACTGTCTGCTGGACGCCTGCAAGAAATGCGATGTCTCGCGTGCCAAAAAACTCATCTCTGCCGAAACTGTGAACTTTGTTCATCCCTATACGGGCGATACGCCACTCCATTTGGCTGTTATCTGTCAGGACTCCAAACGCAAGCAGGTAAATATCATGGTAGATTAGTATTGAAATGGAAACCAATAGCTGATATAATATTATTAATTGAATAAACAAATGTTAAGCTATTAAACTCAAAGCGACAGTTCTCCGCACTTCTTATAACAAGTATTACCAAGTATTAACCAATGCCACCTAGATAGTCATCTGATTTATATAAAAAAAGACCTAATTTATTTTAAAATCACAGCACTTCTCTGCGCTTCTCACACGATTTATCTAAGCGAATCAGATTTTCACAGCAGAATACAATCTTTTTTATGTTTATTTGTGTTTTAATTAAAAACAAAGCTCTCCTCTGCGATTCTCATACGAGCTACCTAACCGAATCTGATTTACATATAGGAATACAATCATTTTTAAATAAGTTAAAAACAAAGCTCCTCTCTGCGCTTCTCATACGAGGTACCTAAGCGAATCTGATTTACATATAGGAATAAAATCATTTTTGAGTTTAATTTAAAAACAAAGCTCTCCTCTGCGCTTCTAATACAAAGCGCAACCAACACTATTTCGGACGGGTGTTAACCCAATTTTAAAGTGAATTTTACCTAAAATTAAAAACTGCCGTCCTCCGCGCTTCTCAAGCACTTAAGAGGCAATTTAGTTTCTCAAAAACAACAAATAATTCTTGAATAATATTTAAAAATTGTCGGTTTCTGGCGCTAATTAAATCTAAATAAATCTTTCATATTAATATTTCAACTTTTAACAAAGACGATTAGAACTCATCCGGATTGTAGATAATATTTAAAAATTGTCGGTTTCTGGCGCCAATTCAATCCAAATAAATCTTAAATATTAATATTTCAACTATTCACAAAGGCGATTAGAACTCACACGAGGTTTAGAAAACGTCACAGAATACATTTTATTTGAAAGAAAAAAAAACACAAAGCAAGAGTCTCTATCTATCTCTATCTATATTTTTTAAAAACTACTAAACTGTTCGCATTCTCATCTCGATTTCTCAGTTGGTGGATCTGCTGGCGCGGAAGGGTGCTTTGCTGAACGAGAAGAATAAGGCGTTCCTCACACCGCTCCATTTGGCCGCGGAACTGTTGCACTACGACGCGATGGATTTGCTGCTGAAGAACGGAGCGAAGGTGAATGCGCTGGACAGCTTGGGACAGACGGCGCTGCACAAATGTGCTTGCGACGAGCAGGGAGTGCGTCTGTTGCTCTCCTATGCGGTGGATACGAGCATTGTGTCGCTGGAGGGTTTGACGGCGGCGCAACTGGCATCGGACAATGTGCTGAAGATATTGAAGAATCCACCGGACACCGAGACGCATTTACTCGAAGCTGCCAAAGCGGGAGATCTGGACACGGTGCGACGCATTGTGCTGAATAATCCGCATACGGTTAACTGCCGGGATCTGGACGGACGCCACTCGACGCCTTTGCACTTCGCCGCTGGCTTCAATCGCGTGCAAGTTGTCGAATTCTTGCTGGAACACGGTGCAGAGGTGTATGCCGCCGACAAAGGGGGTCTCGTGCCGCTGCACAATGCCTGCTCCTATGGACACTACGAGGTTACGGAGCTGCTGGTGAAGCATGGCGCGAATGTGAATGTCTCGGATCTGTGGAAGTTTACGCCGCTCCACGAGGCGGCCGCCAAGGGGAAATATGACATTGTGAAGCTGCTGCTGAAACACGGCGCCGATCCTATGAAGAAGAATCGTGATGGCGCCACCCCGGCCGATCTTGTCAAGGAATCCGATCACGATGTGGCCGAGCTATTGCGTGGCCCCTCCGCTTTGCTGGATGCGGCCAAGAAAGGTAATTTGGCGCGCGTACAGCGTTTGGTGACGCCCGAAACCATCAATTGTCGGGACGCCCAGGGCCGCAACTCGACGCCCCTCCATCTGGCTGCCGGCTATAATAATTTCGAGTGCGCCGAGTATTTGTTGGAGAATGGTGCCGATGTGAACGCGCAGGACAAGGGTGGTCTCATACCCCTCCACAATGCCTCCTCCTATGGCCATTTGGATATTGCCGCGCTGCTTATCAAACACAAGACTGTGGTGAATGCCACCGACAAATGGGGCTTCACACCGCTCCACGAGGCTGCCCAGAAGGGACGCACCCAACTCTGTTCGCTGCTGCTCGCCCATGGCGCCGATCCCTATATGAAGAACCAGGAGGGCCAGACGCCCATCGAGCTGGCCACTGCCGACGATGTCAAGTGTCTGCTGCAGGATGCCATGGCCACCTCGTTGAGTCAGCATGCGCTGAGCGCTTCCACGCAATCGCTGGCCAGCAGCTCACCAACGCCAGCAACGGCAACAGCGACGGCCAACTCCACAGCTTCCAGCGCTACGGCCACAGCTGGCAACAACACTTCCACATCCTGCAACGTGCTCTCACCCACGACCGAAACTGTAACGCTGCCATCGGGCGCTTCTATGACACTGAGTGTGCCCGTTCCCTTGCCCCTCTCCAGCTCCACACGCATTAGTCCCGCCCAGGGGGCCGAGTCGCATGGCGCCGATATGGCCGAGGAGGTGGTGCCGGATGCAGAATCGATTACAAACGTTTCCGGGTTCCTCAGCAGCCAACAGCTGGAGCATTTAATAGAGCTGTTCGAGCGCGAACAAATCACTCTCGACATACTCGCCGAAATGGGGCACGACGATCTAAAACAGGTGGGCGTATCCGCCTATGGTTTTCGCCACAAGATACTCAAAGGCATCGCCCAGCTGCGTGCCACCACAGGTAAAGCTCCTCCTTCTCATTTTCAATTGTCCTGTAATGCAAATTCCTCTTACCTTGCTAGGCATTGGCAACAATGTGAATCCCTGCACGCTGCTCGTTGACTTGCTGCCCGACGACAAGGAGTTTGTCGCCGTCGAGGAGGAAATGCAGGCCACCATACGCGAGCATCGGGATAATGGCCAAGCCGGCGGCTACTTTATACGCTACAACATTGTGCGGGTAAGTCCCCCTAACCCGAAAAATAGTTCCCCATCACAACATGTTTTGACATGACTTGGAATGGACCTAAGTAAACTGATCTTAGTTAAAGGCTCCTGAACAATTATTACAAAGTTGAGCATTTCAAGAACATATATATTATCTTCCCTTGTAGTTCAGTTCATTATAGCCCTTATTAATAGATCCTATACTAACCAGGACTCTTTAAGGAAATATCTTAATTTAAGAAAAATGTAATTAAGAGTATAACTTGAACTTTGAGAATACTTAGTGTTTAAGTGTTCTTAAAATTTAGAGTTCATCCTTATGGCTAAAATAATCATATATACTATATGTTAACCGGGGATAGTGTAGCTTCCCAACAGTGAAAGAGTCCTTTAAATCGCTCCAGCAGTTTCGGAGCCTTTTCAATTCAAATAAACAAACAAACAATCAAATCTTTCCTCTTTATAATATTACCATAAATAATTATATAGTAGTATATCTGATCTTCATCTTTGCTCACACATTACATTCTATACTTGCAGGTTCAAAAGGTGCAGAATCGTAAACTCTGGGAACGTTATGCCCATCGTCGCCAGGAAATTTCCGAGGAGAACTTCCTGCAGTCGAACGAGCGCATGCTCTTCCATGGCAGCCCCTTCATCAATGCGATCGTTCAGAAGGGATTCGACGAACGCCATGCCTATATTGGTGGCATGTTCGGTGCTGGCATTTATTTTGCCGAGCACAGCTCGAAGAGCAATCAGTATGTCTATGGCATTGGTGGCGGTATTGGATGTCCCTCACACAAGGACAAATCCTGTTATGTCTGTCCCAGGTAAGTCGAATAATTAGTTTATATAATTAACTATAATTAGTTTCTTTTATTTCCAATGCAAAACTTATTCATTTAAAGAACAGATCATTAATAATTGTAACTTAAAAGTCTTTTCCAAAAACAATATTGACGCTTTAACATTTGACTTAGAATATGTCTGTCTTCTTAAAATTGCTTTCTCAGCAGAAAAGCTAAGATTTGAAAATAATCATTAGACTAGTAAATAATAATACTACTTTACTACTAGTATAGAAATAGACATTTGATGCGTGAAACTTCTGAGTAATGAAAGAACTGACAAAAACCATTTTAAAAATTATGCAGTTTGATTTTTATAGCTGTCTTTGTATTGACGTTTAACAACCAACAATTAGATATCTGATTGTATAAATCTGACGTGCAGAAGATCTGACCTGTACAAATATGTAAACTATACAAAATATTTAAACTTTAGCGAATTCAACACATTTTAAACGTCTGAACTATTTCCTGTCTACATTTTGATGTTTCGACATCTGACGATTTGACATCTGACGCAAACCAAATCTGACGCGTAGGTTTTCGCTCAACGGAGCTGCGTAAAAGAACTTATTGCTAATAATGTTTATATAAAAAGACTTAGATATAAGTATTTTCCAAAATATTTGAACCAAATGTTAATCTTTTGATATGAAGTATAAAATAGTTTATATTATTTCGTTGCTTTTAACTAAAATCTTACATATAATACTGCTGTTTTAATAATTTCTCAATAAGGCTAACTAATGTATTTGCTGTTCTTTTAGACAATTGCTGCTGTGTCGCGTGGCGCTGGGGAAATCCTTTCTACAGTATAGCGCTATGAAAATGGCGCATGCACCACCAGGACACCATTCGGTCATTGGTCGACCATCGGCTGGTGGACTGCACTTTGCCGAATATGTCGTCTATCGGGGTGAACAGGTAAGTCGTTAATTTTAAAGTCCTATGTAGATAATGATATATTTCATTTGATTTCTTGTGACAGTCTTATCCGGAATATTTGATAACCTATCAAATAGTGAAGCCCGATGACAGCAGCAGCGGCGCTGAGGAAACGAGATGATGGATGCCGTCTGTTGGTTCAACGCCCACAACAACATCGCCAGCACAGCAGCAACAGCCACAGCAGCAGCAGCAGCAACAACAACAACAGACCTCAACGCCAATGCCAACAATAATAACAACAACAACAGCAGCAGCAGCCACAACAACCACCAATAAGCAGCGACACAAGCCACAAAGCAAGCAACAGCCAGCACTGCCTCTGCAATTGCAGTATCAACACTATAAGCCACAGCAGCAGCAGCAACAGCAGCAAGCCGGTGGCGCTGGGGCAGCAGCAGCCGCAGCACCGCCTGGCTCAACGGTGGCTCAAGTGACCACCACACAGCCGACGCCGGCGGGCGTTTTTACGCACAACCAACACAACAACAATGCGCACAACAATGGCGGCGATATATCGCCGATATCCTCTAGCAATTCCTACTCCTCGGTGGACACAAATCAGACGCTGCTCAATTCGATTGCCAATCAACAGCAACAAAAACAGAAACGCGTTCGCAACAACAAATATAGTCAATTCATGTTCATAACGCCGGCCGTTTCGATAGATCGCGACTTTGAATATGCCTCGAACGGCTGCGATTTGGACTTCGAGGACTTTGCGAATGCGGCCCACAACAATGGGAATCTGTTTCGTGTGGGCCTGCGACGCAGTGGCAGCAGCATCGACAGCGGCAACAGCAGCAGCGACAGCTCCTTTCGTTCCAATTACAATTCCTACTTGCATCACAGTCGCCAGCATTTGTTGCCAAAGCGCGGGGGCGGCGCCCATCACTTCTACACCTTCTCGTCCTGGCGTTGGTGCACGCTGATTTGTGCGGCTATGCGTTGTTTTGGCGCTGGCCACAGCTCCCATGCCGCTACCTACAGCAGCTCCTTTGTCCGCGGCGGCGGCGGCGGCGGAGGAGGTGGAACTTCTAGCAATGCGCCACATTATCGGCTGCGTCGCTGCTCCTCCACCTATAACACGGATAATGCCTATGAACATTTTGCGGCGCCCTTCAAGGCCCGCAAGACACGCGATCATATGAACAACATCACCTATGAATTGTGACGGTGGTGGTGGCCGCCTAAGTCTAAGTGCTTTGAATTAATTTTTGATCTCCATGTCGCCGTCTCTATTAGTTTTAACTCTAAAGATCACCACCATATGCGTTGGCGTAGTAGGTTCGTTATCCAAATATTGATACTAATAATAATTCTATTTCTATTTCGCTCTTTACTAATAATTCAATTCTTCTTAGCTATAAATGTTAGAAATTCAATGTCGTTGTTGTCGTCATTTATTCTCTAGCCACTAAGCATATAGCGCGTATTGGATAAATCAAAAGTGCGAGACTAGCTTCTAAGAACGAATCGAACGAATTGCAAATTCCGAACCGAAATCCTGGCAAAAAGAAAAGCGCATTTCCTTCACTCTTCTTGCAGTTGTATTGATTGACAAACAAAAGTGATTTTAAATTCAAATGACTTGCAAATGATTAATAATAATAATAATTATAACAATTAATCAACACATATATACTATATACCAACTTATATATATACATATATAATGTGTGCATTATGCCGCGCGTCTTTATTTAAGTGTTTAAACTTACAACAATTAGCTATTTAATGTAAAACAATGAAAATCAAATTTCAACTGCAATTGAAAACTCCAATTAAACTTAAATATATATACAGACATAAATGCAATTAAAACTCTGTGTTTTATTCTGGTCTCTCCACATAAAAGCAAAGAAAGCTATATCGAGTCAAACGAGATAGTTTTGGACCTAACTTATATAACAGAGAAAGCAGAGAATAAGATAGATAATAAGATAGTTCTAGATATCAGTAATATGAAGCGGAGCTTGAAATTATTTTCAATTTTATTCAAGTTAATCCGTTTTCCAATGCTCGAAGCAGTCCGAAAAATCCTTTTGTGGTCTTCTGGCCTTTGGTACCTTATTCGATTCGTCTTCAATCTCTTTTCAATTTACTTATTCCATCGATATAAAGATATTGTAGAAAGTAGGGAAGATCGATCCAGTAGTCTTAACACCAACAGATATCGGTGATTAAGTCAGCTTTTTTTACTAAATATAGTTCTTACTCCAGCTATGTGATTTATATGAGGAGCGCGGATAGTGGCTGTGCTATTTATTGTCGTTTATATAATTTATCATTTATATTTACCTTAGAAATAATTTAGTCGTGCTTAGAGTGGTTTGGATCTGTCACAACTCCATGATAAGAATAATGTGCCAAAGAATAGAGCTAATAATTGAAAAGTTTCGAAAATTCATGAATGAACTAAAATGTTGTAAACCGATCGTGTAGATTGAATGGCTGCAACACAAATGGGAATATGCAGTCTTTCCTAGCAAGTGTTCCAAATTAAAATTAAAACATTAAGATTAAAAAATTAAAATTTAGTTTACAACAAATCTGGGTACAAATTTGTGTGTTAAAAGTTTAGCTCAAGCGATGCAGAACTCTTCGAATTTGTACAGAAACGACCCGAGTCCTAGCAAGTGTTCCAAATTAAAATTAAAACATTAAGATTAAAAAATTAAAATTTAGATTACAACAAATCTGGGTACAAATTTGTGTGTTAAAGAACTCTTTGAATTTTTACAGAAACGACCCGTGTTGTGGGTTCTGTTTAAAACATGGCCAGATAATTGAAATTGTTAAAGAAGATTTACCAACATTTACCAGATTTTTCAAGACGATGCAAGGTTAGTGTTGAAAATCAATACAAACATAAGTACCAATGCACGCATGTTAATATAAGCAGATAATAATCTTATGTTATCTACAAGTTATCTGTCACTGTTGCATACGAATGTAAGCATAAAGAATATGTATAGCAAAAGTGTCAGTCTCCAATAAAACTCTAAAGCGAACAGACGCACGGCGGTCCGCGACTATTGTCTTTTACTTTACTCCTACTGAGCCCTTCCCTTTTCAGCGAATATATAATCTATTCAATAGGTTATGGGCCCAGGGCATATAGGCTCATAGGAGAAGTTCAAAGTATTGTGAAATAGTAATCGTTTGGTGACTCAAGAAATATAACATTTAAAAAATGAGTGCGCTATATCAAATAGACAAATTGGAAGAGCATAACTATGACTCATGGAGCATACAGATGCGATCTGTCTTAGTGCACGCGGAATTGTGGAGTGTGGCATCAGGTGCTGAACCTAGTAATACTGAGAGTTCAAGGCCAAAAGATGAAAAGGCATTAGCAATTATAACGCTAAGTGTAAAAGCTTCACAATTGGGCTTCATTAAAAATTGCAACACTTCGTACGAGGCATGGAAAAAGTTAAAGGACGTTCATCAGCCGAGTGGACCTGTACGGAAAGTGTCGCTGTACAAGAAATTGCTAGGCAAACGCATGTTTCAAGGCCAAAGCATTTCAAGTTACATACACGAATTTAACGAAATTCTGGATGGTTTGTGTACAGTTGGCATCGAATTAAATGATGAGTTAAAAACAATCGTGTTGTTGTCAAGCTTGCCCGAACCATACGAAAATTTTGTCGTCGCCATTGAGACGCGTGACAATTTACCGTCATTTGATGTGTTATGTATCAAGCTGATGGAAGAGGGAGAGCGCAGAGGCAATGCAGATGGAGAGAGCGAGAATGCAAGAGCATTTATAGCTACGCAGCAGATCGTCGCGCATTCCAAAGCGAATTCAAAAAGGAATTCAAAAATCGTCGTTTGCTACAACTGCGGCGAAAAAGGGCACTACAAGGCACAGTGCAAGCGTGAGAAAATTCGCGGTGAAGGGAAAAAGCAATCGACAAAGAAAGAGATGGAAAAGCAGAGCAGCTTGTTAAATGCGTTGGACGTTGGAAAGATAGAGAACAACATGTGGTGTCTGGACAGCGGAGCAACAAGCCATATGTGTTGCGATAAGACGTTATTTTCAAAATTTATTGCGCACACTGAAATGATCGGTTTAGCTGACGCTGGTTTCCTGAAGGCCGAAGGCAGAGGAGAGGTGAAGTTACAGACAGAACTTTGTACCTTGGTGTTGTCAGATGTACTGTATGTACCGAAAATGAATGGCAACTTTATGTCCGTCAGCCGGTCAGTGCAAAAGAACAATGTTATACATTTTGGGCCACATTTTGCTAAAGTTATACAAAACGGCGAGTGTATACTGAAAGCGAATAAAGTTGGGAACCTTTATATGTTTCAAGGCAAACAAAATAGGTGTTATTCCGCAACTGAATCAGATGGTACATTGTGGCATAAGCGTTATGGCCATTTAAATTTTACCAGTCTGAAGGAAGTGATCAGCAAAGAGCTAGTGCGTGGTATTGGAAAGGTTGTTTTCCCAGACAACTTGAATTGCAAAACGTGTATGCTAAGCAAAATACATGTACAGCCATTCCCAAAGGTAAGCACTAACCGTGCCGAAGAGCTGTTGGAACTGGTTCATGCTGATGTATGCGGCCCATTCGACACGAAGTCACTTGCTGGATCCAAATACTTTCTGACCTTCATCGATGACAAGTCCAGGCGTATATTTGTTTATTTTTTGCGGAAGAAAGATGAAGTGTTCAGTAAGTTCGTCGAATTTAAAAACTTGGTTGAACGGCAAACAGATAAAAAGCTCAAATGTATTCGAACCGACAATGGAGGCGAGTTTGTCAACACAACATTCAACGGTTTCCTGAAACACCATGGTATTGCAAGGCAATTGACCGTGGCTTATACTCCGCAGCAGAACGGCGTGGCGGAAAGAGCAAACCGGACATTAACGGAGATGTCCAGATGCTTATTGGTGCAGTCGGGCCTAGGCGAGTCTTTGTGGGCCGAAGCAGTCAACACAGCAGTATACATAAGAAACAGATCACCTACCAGTGCACTGAACAACCTGACTCCAATGGAAGCGTGGACAGGTAAGAAACCCTGTGTTAGCCATCTAAAAGTTTTTGGTTCCATTGCAGTTGCACTTGCAAAGGGTCCCCGTAAAGGCAAATTCAAACCCAAAGGGCATGAGTACCGTATGGTTGGGTATTCGGTAGCAGCCAAAGGCTATCGGTTATACGACCCAGAGACGAGGACGATTGTCGAAAAACGAGACATTCTATTTGATGAGCGTTGTGGTGGTCATACCAATGAAGATACCGTTACGGTAGATTTTCCTGCATGCGAGGTTCAAGAGCATGTCACTCACACGGATGGTGACAGAAGCATCGACGACGATGACAGTGAGCACAGTTCTGACGACAGCAGCTCCAACGCATATGAGAGTGCAGTCGAAAAAGAAGACTCTGACGAGGATACTGTGAAGATTGGGCCAGGCCGGCCTAAAATTGTTCGAAATGGTAAACCTGGTCGTCCAAGAAAGCAATACAATGTGCTTGGAGCATTGGTTGCTAGTGACGTAATGGTTCCGACATCCTATGATCAGGCCGTTGGTAGCACACATGCAGTATTCTGGCAAGAGGCGATGCAAAAGGAATATCAGGCACTACAATCAAACGAAACCTGGCAGATGGCTGATTTACCAAAAGATCAGCGAGCAGTTGGTTGCAAGTGGGTATACAGCCTGAAACGTGACTCTGATGGAAAAGTCGAACGTTTCAAGGCACGACTCGTTGCTAAAGGGTGCTCCCAGAAGTATGGCGTGAACTATGTAGAGACGTTCTCACCCGTTTGCAGATTGGAAACCGTGCGGTTTATTTTGGCGTTAGCAGCGGAATTGAAGCTGTACCTTCACCAGATAGATGTGTGTACCGCCTATTTGAATAGCGACCTGCATGAAACTGTTTATATGAAGCAGCCACAGGGATACACAGATCCCAATAATCCAAGTAAGGCTTTATTGCTTAAAAAGGCAATATATGGATTGAAGCAGTCGGGGCGCGAGTGGAACTCCAAGCTCGATTGTGTACTACAAGGCATAGATTTTGTAGCATGTGAAAATGAACCGTGTCTTTACAAAAGGAACGGAAGAGGTGACTTATCATTAATCCTTGTTTATGTTGATGATATAATTATAGCATGCCGATCAAAAGAGGACTTGGCCAACATCAAGTCAGCCATTACAACATCGTTTGAATGTGTTGACAAGGGAGAGCTGCATTTGTTCCTTGGCATGGAAGTGCAGCGCGACGGTGAGCTTGGCGAAATTTCGCTAAGCAATTCGCAATACATCAAAGACATATTGCGTGAACATGGATGCGAGACCTGTAGACCTACAGCGACCCCACTGGATGCTGGTTTCCAAGTGATATGTACCAGCGAGCATTGTCAAAAGGTTGACATTGCATCCTACCAGTCTTCAATTGGCGAGTTAATGTGGCTGGCGCTTACAACAAGGCCAGACATATTGCATTCCGTTGCCAAGTTAGCTCAACGGAATCAAGATCCGCATGCAGAGCACCTAGTGGGTGTAAAACATGTGCTTCGATACCTGGCGTCAACTGTGGACCTGAAGTTGCACTACAAAGAGTGTGGACAACCCCTTACCGGCTATGTGGATGCAGACTGGGGTGGCGACCGCATCGATCGCAAGTCGTATACTGGCTATGTATACTACTTGGCTGGAGGACCCATATCCTGGCGATCTGAAAAGCAACGCAGCGTGGCACTTAGCAGCACGGAGGCGGAGTATATGGCTCTTTCAACTGCGTGTAAGGAGGCCATATACCTACGGCGTCTTATAGTGGAGATTGGCTGCGGTGACTCGAGTACTCCAACTATTCTTCATGGCGATAATTTAAGTGCTCAACAATTAGCTAAGAATCCTGTACACCATGAAAGAACAAAGCATATTGATATTAGATATCATTTTGCAAGACAGGTTGTAAACGAAGAACAAATTGTTTTACAGTATACATCAACCAATGAAATGATAGCTGATATTTTAACGAAAAATCTCCCTAAAGCGAAGCATGTTCATTTTACAAAGCTGTTAAATTTGATTTGAAAATTTTTGTAAAACATGTTTGCATTGAGGAAGGGTGTTGAAAATCAATACAAACATAAGTACCAATGCACGCATGTTAATATAAGCAGATAATAATCTTATGTTATCTACAAGTTATCTGTCACTGTTGCATACGAATGTAAGCATAAAGAATATGTATAGCAAAAGTGTCAGTCTCCAATAAAACTCTAAAGCGAACAGACGCACGGCGGTCCGCGACTATTGTCTTTTACTTTACTCCTACTGAGCCCTTCCCTTTTCAGCGAATATATAATCTATTCAATAGTTAGCTCACGTTTAGGTTTATGTTTAATTATTTAAAACATAAAATAGTGCCGCTATTCTAAGCGAAAAGCAGATGTAAATCTTACCTTTTATACTCAAACGTAATGACGTTTTTCTACGACTCCTTTTTCTATAGACTTTCATCGTTTTTTGAATTTATTTATTATTATCGCACTATTAAGCCGTTTCAAAGTAAACAGGTTTTGTCCGCCAATCCCAGTGGGTGAGTGGTTTTCAGAGCTTCTTCAAAGGCTAAACGATGCGCTTGTAACGATCGTTTTTAGGCACTTTCCCAAGGCGTATCTGACGGATGCATTCTAACTGGTAGTCCGGTCCGTCGCTGCCCATTTACAGTGGCCACTCGTGCCTCGTTGCCGTCTTCTTTTTTCAGCATTTAAACTGCCGTAATTTGCAACTGTCAAACAGCTGTCAGGCTTAATGCGCCTAAACGCCAAACTGCTGCTGCAGCAGAAGAGTAATGATGATGAATGCTAAAATACGCAAATACCATATCCCATATCTTTCTTACGGCCACGCACAGCACAGCACAGACGCGAGCGTACGATAATTTCACTGTCAAAAATGTTGGCTTGGCATCGCTTTGGCTCTTGAAGCTGTTAGCTGTTGTTGTTGCTGTTGTGTCGAGTGCGCTTAAAAGTTGGGACCGCTATTGCGGTTTTCAAGTGCATTCATCTCATCCCCTCTCCCTCCTCTCTGCCGACTTCTTCTTTCTTTCTTTCTTTTTTTGGCAACATATGCAAGTAATTTGATTAAATTATATAATTACAGGGCGCAGCAGGCATTTGAATTGCCTGACATTGACGAAACACGCAAAATGCATGAGCACGACACAATAGCGATGGCAGAGTGCGTGACTTTAATCGCACATGATTATAATTACGACCTATAAATACCCTACATACATACTCGTGTGTGTGTTGCGCTTATAACAGAAGCAAAAATAAGAGCGAACGTGCAATGTGGTGACGTATTTCTGCCGTCGAAATGTTGAGGACTAACCGATTTGAATACAGTTTCAAATAGAGATAGAGAATTACACATCATTTAGCCTTGGAATTGTGGACAGTATTGACGAAATTCGGTCGAGGAGGAAGTGTGGAAAAATAATAATTAATAAAGTAGAATCTACATACCAAGTTTGGTCAATGTGGGCTCAGCCATTTCCGAAATCCAAGCGTTCATCCAGACGGACATATCTAAATCGAATATATGTATGTACATTCGTAGGTCGGGGATGCTTCCCTCAGCCACTCTTTGCACAGACTTAATTCAAATTTAAAAAAAACAATATCTTATTAAAAAACATAAATTTAATAAATAAATAATGGAAATCAAATTATTACTAAATTAACTAAATTTAAAAATACAAATTAACAATTCTTACTCAAACATATAAATTAAATATAATAAATTATAACATTAACAAAAAAATTATATAAAAAACTGCGAAAAAAATAATAAAAAATGTAATCAAAATTTAATATAAAACTTTTAAAAAATTGTAAAAAAAAATAGTAAAAAATTTAATTAAAATCTTTTAAAAAAGAAAACCCTAAATATACTATATAAAAGATATCTGAATATCTTAAAAAAATAATGAATATATTAATAATTAAAGAAATATTTGACAATGCACCTTTAAACACCTACTTCAAATAAATACGTTTTATAAATTACAACATTCGCATTTGGACTTATTGTAAATTAAAAACAATCTTAAAGTTACATTTCAAACACATATGTTTGTTTTATATTGTTTTTTAACAATTTTACATGGCATATTTTTAAATAGTTAAATACAAACGTGTTGTAAATTGTAAGACGAATGATTACAAGACTTCTGCATTATTTTAATTATAAACTATATTTTTAATGTTAATCTGTTAACTTCCTATTCATTTAAATTAAAAAATCTGTTTTTTACATTTAATTTATTTTTAAAAAGCAAAGCAAATCTTTGAGCAGTTGTGATGGTGTGATTACGAGCTAATCACGCGCCCATCTCTAATGTGAATCTGTTGGTAGCGACACTCACTGCAGGCCGGGACTAGTGCAATATGTATTTCAAACAGCAACAGACAAACACCAGGCACGGCCTACATCAGGTGACGGACTTTTAACGAACCACGGCACTTAACAGAAGGTGTAAAAGCAATATTAATAAACAATGTAAGCAAATGATGAGCACATTCTTACAAATACATACGTACATTTGTTACTGTTGTTACACGCACAGAGAAAAAGAGTGTGTGGCTGCGATTAGAAGGGAAACAGGTAGAGGTAGAGAGAGACAGAGAGAGAGAGAGAGAGAGAGAAAAGGGCGCAGGCACACCTTGACATTGGGGCATTAGAGAAGGTGTAATTTAATTAAAATATAGACACATTTATTAAAACGCATAACCGCAAGGCAATGACACACACACACAGCTAGAGAGACAGAGAGAGACACCCATTTCCACCAATTTGCTTGAATGTGGCATGCAACAGGCGGCGGGCTGGGTCAACCGGCCGGCCGGCTTCGGCTTCTCCTTGTGGCAATTGCAGTTCATGTTGATTACAACTGCCTTGCCAGCCAAGCCCCTGCAATCAATTAGGTAATGCATTTACATATTACAGACATACATATACATGTGAATATATGAATTATGATGCGTCTGCGCTCTGGCAGAGCGGCTTTTGATTTCGTTATACTCTGTATAAAAAAATGTGTTTTGAAATAAAATCATCATCATCATAAAATCGTTTAGTTTTTGTAACAAACAAATGAAGGCAACTTCTACATAATATGTGTATTGTATATTCTGTTTATGATTTTGCCCCCATTTCACTGCTATTGATGTTTTCAGAAACTTCGCCAGTCTTGGAATTCTTTCAGAGCTTGTTTTCCTACGAAAAATACTAAAGAAATATTATATCCGGTAATGTAGCATTGTCATAACCTAGAAGAAAAAAACTAAAAAATATAACAAACAGAAAAAGGTGTGTAGAAAAAACAAATTGCAGATTTAAACTAATAATAATACATGTACTATACATCACACAATTTTGAAATATTAAAAGAGTTTAAAATAGCTCTATCCATGTTAAAATAGAAGTTAAAAATATTTAAAAAATTTTATATAGGTAACATAATAAAATAAAAAAATATAATAAAATAAATAATTAAAAAATATAATAAAGAATTTAAAGAATATAATAAAATAAATAACATTAAAACCTATAAAAAAAAAAATAATTAAAAAAAGAAAATATAAAAGTTCGTAATAATTTCGATATTCGTAAAAAAAATATTCTGGGGATAGACATTTTAAAAATGTCTTAAGAAATATTGTAAAACCTGTTAAGAAAAATGGTTTCAATATTTAAAAAGAATTCTCAATATACTAATTAAGAACCAGGTACAGGGTATATAAGAGTCGGTTGCGCACAACTATAACATATGCGCTCCGTTTTTTTTAATGTATGGCGTCCGCGGGCGAGTTGGCAGTGTTGGGCAACGCGCGTTAGACGTTTCGCCCACCACACAGCTGATTTCGTTTTGTTTTGATTTGCATGTTTTGTTGTTTTTTGCGACACTTTATTTATACACTACATGCAGCACTTACAAATTAGCTTATATCTAAAAACTGGCTAAATATCTTGTTCGTGGTGAATTGCAAACCTACAGGGGGGTGGTGGGGGTTGATAAGAGCTGCAGTAAATCTTAGTCCTCCTCCTCCTCTTCTTCTTCTTCATCATCTGTGCTTGGTTGTTGCTGCTTTGGTTTTTGTTGTTGTTGTTGTTGCTGCTGCTGCTGTTGTTGTTGTTGTTGCTCGGTCTGGGGCTCGGCATTGGCTCGCAGTGTTGCCTGAACCAATTCGCTGGTGAACTTCTCAACCAAAAGGAGGGCTACGTTTTGTGGCAAATCGTTAAGGGAATGGCTGACAAAATCGCCGAAAGCCTGAAATTTTTGGTTGACAACCACTCTGGCGTCGTCACAGCGACGCTTCGGTGGTGGCGGCTGCTCCAGTTTGGGTGCAGCAGACAGAATCATAGGCATGGCACGATGATGGGAATGCGGATGCATGCTGGGATTGATGAGAGTGGCCGCCGAACTGGAGGAGCTGGGCGCGCTCCTACCATTTGTGCCATTCAAATGCATTTTGTTGTTGTAGCTGTGCATGGACGGTTCCGAATGGGGTATGCTATAAATGAATAGAGGAATTGGTTATAGTCTTTAGCACAACATATGCTGGAAGAAATCACCTTAGCACTGTGGTGACGGGCAGCTGTTGCTCGCAATCATCATCGTACTCCTCCTCATCGAGACGCTGTTCGTTTTCATCGTCATCGTGTCGCTCCAGCTTGATGTGTGGTCCGTGTCCTTCGCTTTCGCTGCGCATATCATCCAGCTCGTAATTCTCATCCTCGTCCTGCCCTCCATCGACAGAATGCCGGAGGGACTTGAAGGAGCGACGTGTGCGTATATGGTCCGCTAAGAAGTTGAGACTCTCGTACAGCGGCCATTGGGAGGCCACATAGGACATGGGATTTTCGGAACGCAGCATGTCGAGGCGTCGCTTCTCAATGTTGAAGCGGTTGCGCAACTGCAACATGCGATCGCGCAGCAAGGACACTGAAAAGGACATGCATTAGCATATAAAGGAGGAATTTAATGGATGTCCTGCTCACCATCGTATCCCAATTTGTGTGAGATGAGCTGCCATTGCTGGGCCACAAACAGCTTATCCTTGTAACGCTTCGAGGAACGATCGTAGAGCACGGGTCGGGAGCGATATTCACGTATCAGTCCCAAATCGAATTCACCGGTTTGCGCGTATGTCGCACGTGGTCGGCCGCGTCCTTTTGGCTGGGGCGGCAAAGGCTGGTAGTGATGTTGAAAGTGTTGCTGTGCTTGTTGTTGTTGGTGCTGTTGCTGCTGCTGCGGTTGTTGTTGGAGGGGCTGCAGCAGCTGCGGATGTGAATGCTGGAGCTGATGTTCCATTTTGTACTTGCGAGGTCTGCCTCTAGGCTGCAATTGTTCACAAATTGTTGTTTCATAACTACACCACACACATACTCAAGCACATGCATACATACATGTGTACATACAAACAAAGGTACAGCTATTTAAACATATTTTTCAATTAATTTCCAACTTAAAACATACACGCCATTCCTCATTACCCAGCGAGCGGCATTTCCAATTTGGAAACAAAAATGGTATTTTTCTTTTACTCTTTCTACTTTTGCGTGCAATTTCCCACACGTTCAGTTTGAGAGCGAGAACGATGACTACCGTTAACGGCTTTCACGAATTAAGCGCCCAAAAAGTACATGAAAATTTACTTGACAGTCGCGGCGCATCCCATAGAAACACGTGCCCTTATTTTTGGCAGCTCTGGCCGGCTAAGACTAACCAGCCAGTGTGGCCAATGCGTCATTTGAGTTCTTTCATTTAATTAAACAAAATAATTTAACAAATTCCTTGGAAGTGCAACTATTTCTCCGTACAGTGCTGTACGAAAATCCAATCAAAATTTAAAAGACGATAAAAAATTAGCGAGGCAAGCAATAATGTAAAAAATAAATTCTAAAAAGTAGTTGCGTCGGCTCTTAATTTATATAAAAAATTTTACGCTGCCAGCCAGCTACTGGCTAAGGTGAGGTGGCGACGAAAATAATATAAAAAAAGATAAAGAAAATTAAAACAAACGAATAGACAAACAAAACGAAAAAAATGAAATAAACACAAAACTATTTATGAGTTGCGCATATGTATGTATGTATGTACATACATATATAAAAATAATAAGCCGTAAAACTCTTTTTAATTCAATGCACATGACTTTTACGTTTTAATCATAATTTTAATTTATACATTCTTTACACATATGAACACATACAAGCGTATATGTATATACATACATACAGACATATGTAAGTATTTATATACACACACGTATGTACATACATACATTAATTACAAAATTATTTATGTATGCATGCATGTTTGAAAATTGAACTTACCCTCGAGTTAACTTGTAAAGACTGCGTTATGCGGCTATATATAAAATTTTCCTTAGTTTAAAAAATCAATATATGTACACATAAAATAAATTAATTAAAAATGGCTACAGAGTGCGGCAAGCGGACGCAAGCGACTAAAACATTAACAGCAACAACAACGACGACAACAACAGTAAAACAATCGTTTACCCGCTCTCATACAACTGGACTCTGAGAGAATATTTTTTAAACTGAATATATTTTTGTTTTTATATTTTACGTTAGAAGCAACTCAAATCCAACCGACAAAAATTTCATCTACGATTTGCCTTGCTCTCAGCACACTCACTTTAACGGCAGCACGCAAAGAGAAATCCGAAAGCAAGCAATCGTTTTAGTGCCGGGTGTGGAGAGCGACAACGAGAGCGACGTAGCAGGGGGTATAAAACCAACGACGCTGGCGTATTGCTCTCTCGTGCTCTCTAAAATGCACTAAACGTGCGACACAAAAGGGAACGAATAAAAAAAAATACCAAAACATAGACGAGTGGGGCGCGCGCGTAATTGAAAATTGAATATTTAAGACCGGGTGTGGTGAGTTGGTTGCTCACACAATACTATGTAAATGAATGAAGTTGTTTAACAACATTTGTATTAACTATTTATTTCTTTTGATATTATACATGTGTAATACATCAACATTGAAATTACGTTACAATACTCTCAAACTATTTGATTTATATTTTAGTTTACAACTAACTGTACCCAAACAAACTGTACAAATGAAGAATATAGAAAATCGAATTTGAAGACTAAAAAGCAATTAAATCAATCTGATTGAACCATGATTGCAAGTTTTTAAAGGAAAGAAAGTAAATAATTTTAACCAAATTTATTAGTTGAATTAATTCTTACGTATTTGAAAAGAATGCTTTTAAAATATGATCGTATTATACTATTGTTGTACCGAAGCGGTCTATTATTAAGCCTCGCTATATATAGAACTTTTAAGTATTTTTAGCTTAGAGAAGAGTGTTTGGTATAATTAAGTTTCTAGTTCGGACTTGATGAACTAATCTTTACATGTCAGTTTGAGAATATCGAAATTATTGTTTTTACAATTATATAACATTTTCAGTTTGTAACTATTCATAAGTTATTTGACTTATAAAGGATTGTTTTTTAAAAACTTACCAGAACTTATATTTCTTGTCTGACATCTTATCTTAAATGCATTTCAGTACAAATCTGCAATAAAAGAGAGGAACTTTTAAATATACACAACATATAACTAGTGGTTAAAATTACAAAATTGCTTATATTAAATGATATCACGGTTGTTTTTATATAAACCGCACATAGGCCGGGACAAGTGCAATGTTTATCTTGAAAATGCAAAACGTTGACACCCTCCCGTCCTAAGTGCAATTCACAGGATTTTCTTACGGGGATATTCATGTATTCACATATAAGGTTTCACAGCAGCTACAACATTTTAATAAGCAAGCATTTGTGCAAAATCTTTCATTCGTTTTCTTCATCTATAAAAAAAAAAAAAAAAACTCAACAGGTAGGCAGACCGAGCCAACACAAAGGATCACTGCCAAAAATCTCAAATTTCAATGGATGGATGATGAAGTGGGGCAAAAAATAAAATAAAGTGCATATCATATTAAATTTCCGCCCCTACTTCAGACGACAGGAACGGGGCTCTCCAATAACCCAAGGCCCTTGTGCGGGCGTATTTAACACAATAGTAGGAGCTGAAGACAACAATTTTTGGACATCAAAGGATCAGCGAGGATCAACGTGAAGTACAGTCTGTGTTACCTGCTTCAGTTGAAGCGTTAAATGCCTTTACTTTCGGATGAAATCATTTCGTACCAACATATCAGGTACCCATTAACATTTGCTAGCCCACTAACAGCGGCTTAACAGTGGCACAATGCTGTTACTGCTGCGCTGCTGCTGTTAAGGAGGTGCCGCTGCAACCATTTTTGAAATATAAATACAAAGCGTGAATAATTCGAGGAAACTTGGTCGTGGACCAACCATACTGAGTCCATATAATAATAAGATCTGGGAAACTGACATTTATAAGGCGGTAATAAAAGAGCAAAAACTGAACGCAGAATTTGCCAGAGCAGCAGTTTGAATGTTTAAAAAATTACAAATCGTACAAATCGCTGTTGGAGTACATACAAAGCTTCTCTTATTATATTTCTTTCTTATGTTCTTGTGTGGCTCAGCGAATTCTGGCTTATCTTAGAATAGCAATGCAAAGAAATACGGCCTCAAGCAGCAACTCGAAAAAGGGGAGCTGCAATATTTGTTTATATGAGGAGGCATGGACATATGGCAACAACAAAATCGCGATCGTGTCGCGTTCTAAAAAGCTTTGCCGCGACTTTGCATTTTATTACGTACGTACATATATGTATGTATGTACATATGTATGTAGATATATGCATATACAAACAAACAGCAATAAATTCATATTTATTTATTTTACTTAGGCAAATACGCCCCCAACTTTTGGTCTTCCAGCTAGCGCTCAAGCAACTTACTTTTGCGTGCGCGCTTCTTCTCCCATTGAGGAGGACGGTCAGGCCAAATGGAATTGAATGGCAACAGCAACAACCACACTAATAAGAACAACAACAAGTCTTTAAACCCCATTTTATTCAGTCAAGCTGGGCAATTGACTCTTCGAAACGAACGGAAAGCGGAAACGCAAATAGACGCGCGATAAAAAGATAAAAAAAAAAAATAATGCCTAACCCGACGCGCACATAAATTTCAAATAAGTAATAATTCATTGAAGAAATAAGGAAAGCAATGTGCCACAGCGAATCATGTAATAATATTTGCTTAACGAACAGCTGACATGATTAGCCATAGAGCCAGCCATCGTGTAAAATTCTCGAAGGAGAATGGAAATGGAGTTGGCTGTCTGACTGGCTGACTGATTCGATAGATAGTGCTGGCTGATAGACAAAGTAGTACGGATTAACCCATGAAGAACAGATCGCAGAAATCATAGGCATATGAATTTTCTGAATAATGGTAAAAAAAAAGGTGAAAAGGTAACTACAATTTTAATTATATTCGAGTGGAGCTTAGAAAAGATTTAAGCAAGATTTCCTTCCTTCTTAAATTTGGGAGATATTTCAAACAAAATCGGACTTTTCACATCTATCGAAAAACTGTATAAGCATTAGCTATATTTTTTATACACACATATACTATATTTAAGGAAAAACCCACAAAGAATGGACCACGCATACCATATTCATATCTGAATAATTAGTTCAGCAAAGTGCAGTGGAGCTGTGAAGCCATTTTAAAAAGATTTCCAGTACAGTCCAAAAGCATTAACATTAAGTTCACCCACTGCGATATTCTTATTCTTAAATATTAACTGCCTTTTTAATATAAGTAGGATCAATAAAAAAGAGGAAATATTATAACAGTCCCCCAACTTCTCCTCTACAGTGCACAGCTTGACTCACTAGAGAACTCTGCTGTTCTAGCACTTTGCACTCAAGTTTGATTTAGTGGGTTAGCGTTGATGGGTTAAAGGCAATTGGCAGCTGTTTTTGTTATTGTAGTTGTTGTTGTTGTTGCGGTTGTTGCTAGGTTCCTGCCAACTAGTTTGCCTTTGTCGTTGTTGTTGGTTTTGTTGTGCTTATGATTGAACGGCGTCATAGTGTTTGCTGGCTTGGGGGCTGGCAGCTGTTGCTGTTGTTGTAATACTCTTGTGTTCTACTTTAAGAAAATCATTTTTAATGACTGCCGTCGACGTCATCGTCGCCGTCGTCGTTCTCGTGGCAACACAAAGCCCAGAACGTCGATGGCCAGTGAATGGCCTGCAAGCGAAAGACAAAAACAGTTTTATGCACTGAGGAAGAGGCATAGAGAGGAGAGAGCGAGAGAGAGCCTGGCGATCTAGCTGCTGGGCTCATTGCTGTTGTTGTTGTTATTGTTGCTGTGCTGTGCTGAGTGCTGCGTCTGCGCTGTAAAAAATAACTGTATTAAATGGCCAAAGCCTAGGACCCAAGCATAGAAAGGTTGCCTGACAACTGCCTGAGAACTTTACTGCAGCGTCGGCTGTTACAATTTTTTTTCCCCCATTTTTTTTGCATTCTTTATTTTTGTTGTATTTTGCCAAAACCAGTTCTACCAAAGAAAGGCAGTTACAACAGCAAGCAAACAAAAAAGGCGTTTTCTGGCACGGACTGGGCCGTGCCTGGTTGTCTCATCTGTTGTCTATTTGCCTTGCCTTTCTGTGCCTTGCGCTGTGCCTTTTCCTGCCTGTTGCTGGCTGGCTGTTGCTGTGGGCCTGTTCGCCGCTGCAACATGTTGCTGTTGCATATGCGCGCAACATTTGTTGCTGAAGCTGTGTGTTGTGGTGTTTGTTATTGTTGTTGTGTATTTTTGGTGCTATTTTGATTTGATTTGCTTGTCTTGCAAGCAAAGAAACGAGCACAACGTTTAAGCTAGTGTTACAGACTTTTGTATACACTGTAACCGATTCGCTACCCTCTCCACGTACAAAAGATTAGCTAGCTGTTTTGTTTTAACAATCATTCCTATGAGGGCCAAACGATTTTGGTGGAAATTTAGACTTTGGTGAGGGCATTATAAAATACTCATCAATACCAAAATTGGTTGCATTATCCAAATAAACAAACAAGTTGTTGGTACTAGAATGATTATTCAACCAATCATTCCTAAGACAGCTATATATACATATATAGTTCACTAATTCCTATGAATCTTTCGATTATTGTGAGGCCCTTTAACAAAATTGTATAAATATTACTTTTAATTAAGATATATTCAAAGAAAAAAAGTTATTCTTATAAAATGAGTTTTGAATCGATTCTTCCTATGGCAGCTACATACATATATTAAATATTGAGGCTACATAAAACATTCTATAAACTCAGTCTGCACAATGATAAGACAAGTCTATATACCAAGTTCGCGGTCCCTAACTGTTGTGGTTTCAAAGTGCTCGACGTTCATACAGTCAAACAGTGGGTCTGTCTTTATCGATTCCGTTTGTCATGCTGGACTTACATGTACCCCTGGGATCTGACACGCATTCTCCTCTCTAAATTTTGGGCTTACATTTTCTAGTATACCCTTTCAACTTTTGGGTATAGGGTATACAAATTATAGCAACAACTATTACTGCTGCTTGTATGCCTTAACTCTGGCTGTTTGCGCATTTCTCGTTCTACACGTAATCGAAATGCAATTAAGTTGGCGTTGCTCCTCTCTGGCTCGCAATACTCATACTCCCATTTATTCTATTTTTGACTTTTTATTTGGTTTTGTTTGGCTGCAATTTATAAGCCTGGACAGTTCGTTCTCTGCGTTTTATGCGCCTTTTTTCCTTCTCGATTTTAGAAAGTATGCAATGCGACGACGACGTGTGCCATTGGAAAGGCGTCGACTGCGTCACTGCTTGTTGTCTATGGTCTGTGCTTTGTGGCATAATTAAAGGGTTACGAGATGCCACGCCAATCGCCATCTAGAGCCGCCACTCACCACCACTCTAGCTAGCCAGAAGACCAGCCTGTTCGGCTTGGTTCAGTTCGATATGGAGCGGTGCATGTGGCTGATATGCATAACGGTGTTTTAATATGAGTTGGCGCAAATAAGTGGGTATTTCTTTGGACTGGGACTCGACTCTAACTATTTCAGCACCACCACTCATTTGAAGGCATATCAAAGAGACAATGATGATGCGGCCAGATGATATTCTCATACTCTTGGTCAGCCGTCAGTTTGTTTGTTGGCTGATTGCCCACGACACACACTCATTGCTGATATTGTTACGAGTATGGCATAATGCCTGGGTGTGGGCCTATAGTACTTATATATGTACATACATATGTGTGTATATAGTTTTGAGCTGCACTTAAAAAGTCGACTCAATCGACGAAGTTTGCGCGCAATCAGTGCAATGATTAACTATCTGTGATTATTGAGCAGTGGGTCGAGCTTCAAAGTCTCCTCTAATTGTAAGATTTGCGTTCAAATGATAAGCGAGCAATCAAAAAAGAGGGGAATTAAACCGAATTGCATACCTGCTCTCTTATTTATCGATAAAAAGGTTATTTTTGGCAATACTTTTTAATTTTCTGATGACAGAGCTGGTAGTTGAAACAAGCTGGAAGGATTACTTACAAAAATAATGTAATATATAATGTACCAGTTCTGATATTGGTTTATAG